TGAAGCCATTAAGGTACTATTAGTCCAGAGTAACCTAGTTCAGGTTTGAAGAGTCTAAGTTTTGTAAATTTATAATTAGAGCAGAGCAAAGATGATTATGAAGTGGAAATATGTGTTGGAATAGCCTTTTCTGACTCTGAAACTATAAATGGAAACCAACTTCAGAACCTTCTGTCTGGTACATCTTTTTAGCTTTTTGTAATTTAATCTCTTATTCTTGATTAAGATGAATAAAAAAACATTCACACCAACAAGCAACCAGGGAAGGTGCACATACAGTGGAATTGGCTCCAGTTACAAGTGTTGATTTGCACTAACGAGATTTAACTCACAGAGGCTGTGTGAGCAGAGCGCACTGGGAACAAGCTTGTAAGGAGCGTGTACGTTTTTGCCGCCTGATCAAGCAGTGCTGGTGGGGAAACGTGTTTCAACAACGGAACCGACTGGAATACTGACGTAACTCTGGTGTGCAAAGGTGTGAGTTTCAACGGGAGAGAAACACCGGATTGACAGTACAGCTTTTCAGTGAAACTGCAGGAAAAGTGTGGGTGTTTAACCTCCTCATTAGAAAAAGTAGGTGTTGCAACGCTCATGCAAGCGGCCCACTGTGGGCAAGTAGCCCACCAAGACGATGCCAGATGAGCTAGTCCACTCCTGAACAGGAGGTAATAGACTGTATATCAATTCTAAAGTTGAAGAATATGTTTAAATCAAATGGGATTAAACCTTATGACTCATGTGAGTGAAATTAATTGCAGGAAAAGAGCTAAAGACTATTTGATGTCATAAAATGAATAACATGGACATTATTTCATATTTTTAAATCCTAAATTTGTAGTATTGGAATGCAAACCTTTTGGTTTAAGTTTCAAATTATTTGAGAGGTTGTCTTTATAAGCGTATGTTTCTGCCTTCACCCATTTTTTTGGACAGTCTTAAATTTGTTTGTTCTAGGACTAAATGTTGTGTTTTCTTTGTAAAACAATAACTGAAAAATTAAATAACCTGAAACTGAAAACTGAACTCAAAAGCAGCTCGCCACACCGCTAAAGATAGGTTTGGGTTCTAGTTTGGCCACGATCCACATCTGGGATGCGTCAAATTCTGCAGGTAACATAGGACCAGACAGCCCTATTGCAGAGATTCTTATCTATGTAGTTTATGCCAGTACATGTGACCTATAGGCTTATTTACTGCCAGCATCTTTTGAGAAGTGCAACAGTGTGTTTTTCATTGCTTTAATCATGGAGCTGGAGAGGCGCAACAACATATATATGACATCAGTGATATCAAACTGATCTCCTTCTTCCTTTTGGTTTAATGGCGGATGGCATAAAAATCAGTGGCCTTTATAGTTTTGAGTGATTTTGTCGTGAATCCAGCAAGGCGGATGGCGGAGAAACTGCTTCGTTGTCTGAGACGCTCCTCTAGTGTGGATTGATGTGATGTGAAGCACGCAAGTAACCTATTCTGCTGATGTTCTGCACCACTGATGCCTCCAGTGTGAATTGGGGGTTATTGTAAAGTAGACGTTTCTAGCACAGCTTCACCTACGTACGTCTTTTTATGACAAACAATCATAGTAGGTAAAAGTTCCAGAAGAACTAGCCTATAAGGACACTCCTTAAAGTCTCTTTCCCGAGTATTTCTATTGTCCAATGGCACCATCTAGTGGCTGATATTATATGAATAACTTCTTCAGTTTTTTTAAGATAACGACTTCACGTTTCTAGTTTATTTATGTCTTTCTGTTGCCGACAAACAGCGCTAAAACAATTGTTTTAGAAGTATTATCTCATGTCAAGCTGTTTTCATATATTTATATTTTAAACACCAACTTGTCCGTGAAAAGTTAATCAACTCTGCATCAGCCGAGGTATTCCTTAAATTTGAAGCACATAAGCAGTAGTTTAACTCTATTGGTTAGTTCTGGTCAGCACTCGGTTTCCAATTGCATGAAGCTCTCCAGGGCAGGGGACGTGCTTAGCAAAAAAAAAAAAAAAAGATGTATTGCTTACATTATATCACAGTACATGATAAGACAATCACTTTTATGGATTTCTGAAAAATCCTACATAATCTCTGAAAGGGGAAAACTCCGAAAAGATACTTTATCGAACCAAAAAAAAAAAAATTAATAATAATAAAGGAGGTTTACTAACCCCAAAATTAAATTGACACTGATGAAGGCCACAAGCTTGCAGATGTCGATAAAATAGTTTTGAATATCATTTCTCTTAATACTTGATGTGCTCCTAAAACCTTTTATTACCATTTTTCTTTCTTTGAAAGGCCTCTTTTAGAAACTGGTGCAAATTCTTTAGGCCTGACATTAAATCTACTTTCTTGCTCGTGTCCAGACACTTTCTTAAACACACACTATTCAATATGGTGTTATCGCCAGGTACAAGGACTGAACAAAACCAGTGAAAAGCAGTCTACACAATGAAAACCATTGAAGACTTTCAAAATGTCTGGAGAAGTATTGATAAAGACCACTTTGAAAGATGACAAGAAATGATGTCATTGTTGAAACTGATAGTTCAGTATATGCTACCAGGTTACAACAATACAGTGAAAAGTTCTTCCACAATTTTAGTGATTTTAGCAGTTTTCTTAGATATTATATGATATTTCACTGGTGCAGAGGCTCAAATTGTGACCCTTCTAAAAGGAGTAACTTTCTATTCAATTCATACACAGAAGGCATATTTTCTATGAGACTGCTAGCCTGGAGGTCAATGTTGCAAAGCTCAAAGTACTGGGCCAGTCCAACAATGCACATTCTCTCCAAAAGTTTTATATTTTTATTAAAAGCATTTAGTTTAAATAAGTGACCATATTTTTCTATCTAAGGTCAATAGAACCAATAATCTAATGGATGATTTGCTCTGCATCAAGCCTTCGATAATTATTACCGTTGTGTCATGCCACAGGGTTGACTGCACAAAACAAAATTGATTTCAATTTTTGTGGGTCTGAACCATAGGGACTATGTGGACGTTTCACCAACAAAAGTTGTCGACGTTTGTGGGAATCAGCGATGAAGAAAGCATCACAAACACCAGTTTAACACATCCCCAAGAACAGAGTTGTATATTTCCAAGAAGCAGTTGCATTCATTATTTACATGAAAGAAAGACTAATTTTTCCACAAAACAAACACATCAGTGTACAAGTGAAACTCAAAAAATCAGAATATGGTGCAAAAGTCCATTTATTTCAGTAATTGCCTGGGAACCCTTTGCAGGTGTTTTTGATTCATTAGCTGTTTAGAGTGTCATATCCACCCTAACCCTAACCCTAACCCTGGCTGTCTGTATGTTTTATAATAGATTTTTTGATTCTAATTGGTTTTTACACAGGCACCCTCATACCTATCGGAGCTACTGTAATACATAGGCATGTTTCTGTGAGGGGTTTGAGGTCTGAATGCCAGCTGCTGATATTCCCAGGACTTGCCTAATGACCCGGGGAGATGGAGCCTTTCCAGTTGGTTATGCTAGGATAGCTGCACCCCGGGATGATTTTACGTTTCTTTTAAAGACCCATTTTTTTGCTCGTCATGTACTACTGAATGAGCAGAATCCTCTGGCTGTTTTATCATGTGTATTTGTGATTTAGGCAGCATTAGCTTAACAGGTTGAGCGGGTTGTCCAGTAATCGGAAGGTTGCAGGTTCAATCTCGGCTCCGGACAGAGAGTTCTGCTGTTGTGTTCTTGGGCAAGACACTTAACCCACCTTGCCTGCCGATGGTGGTCAGGGGGACCGGTGGCGCCAGTGCTCGGCAGCCTTGCCTCTATCAGTGCGCCCCAGGGCAGCTGTGGCTACATCGTAGCTCATCACCATCAGTGTGTGAATGTGTGTGTGAATGGATGGATGATACACTGTAGTGTAAAGCACTTTGGAGTCCTTACTCTGAGAGGTGCAAGTGTGGGTCATCATTTATTGTTATTTTTTATTTGTTGTTGGTGTTGTCTTTAAATGAATTTGATTTTAACTATCTACATCACTATGGTCACTCCAAGTGTGTAAAATGTTTTTTTTCTAAATGTTGATTTATCGATTGATTGATTGTCTCACCTTGTTGAATTACTGAAACAAATTCACTCCTGCACCTTACTCTATTTGAGTTCTACCTGTATTTTACCACCTCATCCTTCCTCAGCATGCCAATGCCCAAATTGCCCCCAAATTATACATAAAAAAATTGAAAATAAAATAAAATTCTAATCTTGGCACCCAAAAAAGAACACAGATGGATAATTATCAAACACTCTGACTAAATTGGAGGTTTGTGAATAATCGGTCATCAGCATTTGCTCGTGAATCTCAGTTTTAGGTTTCACAACATAACTGTCCTGCTCTGACATCACTTGTGTAACCTGTGTTTCCACTGACTGGCTAGCTTTTACAAACTACTGCTCTATGTAGAAGACCAAAGGCAAAGGACGATGTTAAGGACCATCAAGATGTTCCACATCCAAGGAATCTTTTTCAGCAAAGACACAGACACACTCCGGTTTCCCCCACAGATCACAACATGCCCTATAGTTTATAAATTGTAAGTCGCTTTGGATAAAAGTGTCTGCCAAATAAATAAACATAAACAGACTATTTGGTTAACTACTACCGCCTACAGGCTTGGTCTGCCTATATGATTCACATTCCACTGGACTATTTCTATGAAAATTAGATGGTTTGGACCTAAGTTTTTATAGAAATCCAATCCAATCTATATAGCACAATTATCAACAGCATGACAGCTGACCAAAGCACTGGACATCAAATCAAAAGGAGACAAAAATAAAAATAGATGAGTTGAGAGCTAAAAGTGTAAAACCACATTTGGGAATACAAGATATAAGATGAAAAAAAAATACAAAATACTTAAAACAAGTTTCAGTTCAGTTTTAGTTTCCAAAAACCCAGCTGTCTAATTTACTCTTTAAAAGAAAACAGCAAAGTGAAACACACCTTTATAATTGTGAGTGTCCTACCTTTACATGATGGCAGCACCCTGTCCCATACTGGTTTTCCATCGGGTCCCATAACACAGGTGATGGTGTCTGTACCCAGGATTGTGTAACCATGGTGACAGCTATAGGAGACCTGGGATCCTAGTTTGTAGTCATAGCCTGTCCGGCTGGCATTCATAATGTTACCGGGGTCAAAACATGCCTCTCTTGGTTTTTCTGTGAGAAACAGAAAAAAGGTTGAGATTCTTGATAAAAGCCAAGATAAACAGGTTTGGAATGTGGTGAACTTTTATTGTTTTGTTTTTAGACAATGAATAACATTCTACGGGGGTGATGAGGAAGCACGGTGATAATTGGTATTGAAGCTACATTTTTTGGTTACTTTATTCTCAGTCAAGGACCTAGCTTTCCAGATTTCATAACTCAAGTGGAAAATTAATTCAAATAACTTTTGTTGTCTTCCATAATACGCCATGTTAACCTTCCTCTCTTTGCGAGTCACATACTTTGCCCCTGAGGAACAAAACAAATAGGGGCAAAAGACAAGTGAAGAGAAGGAAGGAGTGCATAAAAAATAGAGCTAAAGCTTAAAAAGTCAACTATGTTTATATACTGTCTTCAATATTTATGACTTGGCACTGAGACAACATGCTTTTCTGCATTCACGCCACGTTAATGTGAAAGAGGAAACAGTCAGGCAGAGCGAGGTAGAGGGCAAAGAAGAGCGGAAACAGGCTGATGATTAGGGCTGTATTTTAATTGTAGAGATGGTGACAGAGAGGTGGTGGATGCTATAAAGAAGGAAAACACTTAAAAAGTGACAAGAAAAGACAGGAAACAGAAACAAGAAGAACTTTTCTTTTTTTAAAATAAATGAGTTAGGTGAGAGGAAGAAGGGGAAAATAAGAGGTTATAAAAAATAGAGCAGATCTAGCCACCATTAAGCTGAACAACCAAGTTTGAGATTGAGTATGGGTGTTAAATCATTAGTCACAATCTGTGGAGATAAACAACTCTTCAGCATAACTTGGAACAGCATGCCCTTTCAGCTGGAAAAAGATTCCTCTTGTAACAGAGCAAAATTAATAAGAGCAGAGATTAAATATTATCCAGTCTGCACAACACGCAATCGAGTATCGACAATTCCATCCTTAAAGTTAATAGGCAGACAGTTTAATGACAAAGGCATGTGTTGTCTAATTGTGCACGGAAATCCAAACAAAGTCATGCCATACAGGCCATTTATAGAAAAGATTTGTCCATGTCAATGCACCCATCTGATAATCTCAGTCAATATCTGATTAGCCCTCTGGAGGCAGGCATTGCAGATTAGCAACGTTAAAACCTACCTACCTGGTTACTCCACATACGTATTTCATGAGCATTTTATAACTCAAAAGTACCCCTGAAGGACTTAGTTGTTTGCCCTTTTATCAAAACTTATTTTGAGCCTGAGAGGGTTAATTGTACTTTTCAGCTTAATTAAAATTATTGAGCAGTGACAAGTTGAACTGTATTGTTGTTGGTGGTTATTGCTGTTACCTTTTCAATACCAACCAATCCACATGTGCTTTGTGGATTTGGAGAAGGCTTATGACCGTGTCCCCAGGGGCACCCTGTGGGGGACGCTCCAGGAGTATGGGGTGGGTGGCTTTCTGTTAAGGGCCATTCAGTCCCTTTACAAGAGGAGCGTGAGTTTGGTCCGCATAGCCGGTAGTAAGTCGGACCTGTTCCCAGTGAGGGTTGGACTCCGCCAGGGCTGCCCTTTGTCACCGGTTCTGTTCATCACTTTTATGGACAGAATTTCTAGACGCAGCCGTGGTGTGGAGTGTGTCGAGTTTGGTGGCAGGAGAATCTCGTCTCTGCTTTTTGCGGATGATGTGGTCCTCCTAGCTTCATCCAGCTCTGACCTTCAGCTCTTGCTGGGTAGGTTCGCGGCCGAATGTGAAGCGGCTGGGATGAGGATCAGCACCTCCAAATCTGAGACCATGGTTCTCGACCGGAAAAGGGTGGCTTGCCACCTCCGGGTCGGGGGAGAGGTCCTACCTCAAGTGGAGGAGTTTAAGTATCTCGGGGTCTTGTTCACGAGTGAGGGTAGGAGGGATCGGGAGATCGACAGGCGGATTGGTTCGGCGTCTGCAGTGATGCGGACGCTGAGCCGATCTGTCGTGGGGAAGAGGGAGCTGAGCCAGAAAGCCAGGCTCTCGATTTACCGGTCGATCTACGTCCCAATCCTCACCTATGGTCATGAGCTTTGGGTAATGACCGAAAGAACGAGATCGCGGATACAAGCGGCCGAAATGAGTTTCCTCCGCAGGGTGGCCGGGCTCAGCCTTAGAGATAGGGTGAGGAGCTCGGACATTCGGGAGGGACTCGGAGTAGAACCGCTGCTCCTCCGGATCGAAAGGAGCCAGTTGAGGTGGTTTGGGCATCTGGTCAGGATGCCTCCTGGACGCCTCCCCGGGGAGGTGTTTCGGGCATGTCCTGCCGGCAGAAGGCCCCCGGGTCGACCCAGGACACGTTGGAGAAGTTACATCTCCAATCTGGTCCGGGAACGCCTTGGGGTCCTGCCGGAGGAGCTGGTGGACAAGGCCGGGGAGAGGACGGCCTGGAGCTCCCTAGTTGGGATGCTGCCCCCGCGACCCGGACCCGGATAAGCGGAGGAAGACGACGACGACCTTTTCAATACCACTGCCAACCAGATAAACTAAAATCAAAAATTAAATAAATAAATAAACACCACAAACACAACTACAAGCACTGCTAATATTCAACTACTGCTGCATTTAGTATTATGCATTCCCATATCAATAACAATACCAGTTTATGCATCAGTGTTGCAACACACAAGTCACTCATTTCATCACTGAGTTTCTTATGGTTGTTGCTGTGTCATATTAGTTTTTTTATGTTTTTTTTTTATTCTATGTAAAACAAAGATGAATACATCAAGCAACAGTTTGCTTTCTATAATTACCTCTATATTCAATGGCGAATCCAGACAAGCCCAGTGAGGCATCGGACCTGAACGCCAGGAAGAGACTGTTGCTGCTGCTCTCGATCCGCTCCGGGGCCTGGTTGCCTTGGAGACTTGCTAATAGAGGTCCGTTTGAGTCTTCACCCTCATAGATATGCAGGAAGTCGTAACTTGGCTCCATGTTGAAACTGGGATGAAATAAAAGTACAAATTTACTAAATTAATCTTATTTGTCTTCACCTCTTTTACTACACTTAAAGATTCCTTTAGTGAAATTTTAAAGGGTATATATCATACAAAATCTACTTTTTGGAGCTTTTGACTGTTACATTGCTATTTGAAAATCCCCCCTAAAGCATTTGTTAAAGTCAAAGTCCCATTAAAATCCCATTACTTGTCACACACTGATGTGTGGTAAAATTTGCTCTCCGCATTTGACCCATTCCCTAGGGCAGCATTGAGCTGCAGACACGGCTGTGCTCAGGAACATTCTGGTGGTTTAACCCCCTACTGGGTCCTATTTATACAGGCTTTGGGTATGACCCGACTGTGCACCCGACCCATCTCCCAGTCACAGGGTGGACACTCACACCACTAGGCCACTGAGTTGGTTTGGGCTTCACACATGCATGTTTCTGTCTCAACTGCTTGTTTCGTTCAGCTCTGGTAAACTCAGCTAAGCCATCGCAAAAGCCTGGATAGGGCATGGCTGCATCATCATGCCTTGCTCTTCCCCATCCAGGTGGTGTCAAATTTGGATCCCTCCTCCCTTGGACAGTAAACACTAACACCCGGTCTCTGTGTGTAGCTGGAAGGGAATTTAACCTCCACAGTTGTGAAGAAGTGGTTTATTTCTTATCTAGTCTGCATTTTTCAGGAAGTGAATCCCTGTTTGGTCAGGGCGGTAAATAAAACCAAAATGCTAGATAATTAGTCTCCCAGTATGTCGCTGATGCTCACCCACTAAATTTTAAAACTATTTTGCCAGGGACCACTGTCCTACGTTTTCCATGTCTCTGCTTCAGCACACCTGATTTACATTGGCTCCTCAGGAGGACATCAAGTGCTGCAGATGCCGGTTAATCTTTCATTCATCTGAATCAGGTTTGTGGCAGCAGAGACTCACTGGTGTTTGAAAGGGCAACATGGAAAACATGCAGGACAATGGTCCCTAAGGACTAGGGTTGGGAAACACTGCACTAGCTGAATATTTTTAAAGTTTAGTGGGTGAGTGTCAGGGACAGACTGGGAGACCGATTCATCTCAGTTGACTTTTTCCCATTGGTGTGTGCGCATGTGTATATGTGTGACAGTGGCTGGACAGCGGGGCTGAGGGGGTAGCATTCAGCAATTGCTGGATGGGACATGTTGCCACAGGGAAATCTTCATGTACTTAAGCAACAGTGGCACAGGAGCTAAGTGCTTGCCCCATAAACGGAAGGTTGCAGGTTCGAGCCCCCCTCCTTCTGTCGCTGTTGTTGTGTCCTTCGGCAAGACACTTAACCCACTTTGCCTGATGGTGGTGTTCGGAGGGACCGGTGGCGCCTGTGCATGGCAGGCTCGCATCTGTCAGTGTCCCAGGGCAGCTGTGGCTACAATGTAGCTCATCACCACCAGGGTGTGAATGTGTGATTGTGTTGTAAAGCACCTTGGGGGGTCCCAGGACTCTAGAAGGTGCTATATCAAATACAGGCCATTTTTACTTTTGACAGCCAGTTCACTGCTGCTGGCGCATTGCGAAAGCTGCTTTAATGTTTCTCCTAAAATTACACTGTGAAATAGGTGGAATTCATACTGGTGGAGGCAGGATTTCATCGAATCCAAGCATCTTTTATTCGGGTAGAAGTAATGGCTCACAAAAATAACTTAATCTCAAAAAAGCTAACAGTATTATTTGATCATATGTCTATCATTGCTTTCGACAATGTAAATTAGCATGATTCACGTTTCTGAAGCACAGTCAGGAATTAATTTCCAATCATTTACACAAAGTTATTTTCAACATCATGTTAAAAAGGACAACGTTGCCTACATATGGCACAGAGCTTAATTTATTTACAGAATAGTTAAAAAAAATATATGCTTATTGTTAAATTTAAGCCATGACTTTAAGAAGAGTTGTTGGGGTAAGTTGAAATCCATTCTTTCAAACATGTATTTTTTTCTCGAGGATAGCTTTACAGTTTAAAGTAACATCTTAGGGTTTGATATTGAACGCATGTCAAAACCTGCATTATAATCCATTACATCCATCCAGCAGTGTGACTGAAATTCATTTGATGCTGTCACTTGGTTGTATCTCACTTTTTTGTCATCTTTTATTGGATTTATGATGTTTTATGGAAAAAGATGAAACAGTTCCATATTGCAAATGTTGGCTTTTGCTATAAAACACAAAGAATAAATTGAAATGAAGTTACGCTCACGCACACACACACACACACACACACACACACACACACACACACACACACACACACACACTTCTTAACACAGCTAATGACAGTTCTAAATGTCAGCCACACCAGGCCACATTTCCCTCATTTACTGTTGTTTGCTTTCTTTGCTTGTGTGTAACTTTGCATCAAAGCAGGCAATCTCAACATATGTTGTCATTAAAGTTAAAATTAGAGCAAAGTATGTTTAAGACCCATGTTGAGATCTGCTGCTAAAGGGGCTTAACTGCACCTAAGTCCCCATTGGACTGATAAAACAGCCTTCAATGATACTTGTTAATACCTTGCGCCTAGCGATACTTTCTGAATCTGAATACTAAAGCAGCTAAGTGTCATAAAAGGAACACAAAGATCCCAAAAAGAAGAAACGGGACAACATCTTCACATCTCATGCCAGAAAGATAAAACAAAGCATATAAAAACGTGAGACCTAAATACAAACTCAGAGCTGTTAAAAATGTGGAGAAGCCTACATTATTTTATGAACAAAAGGCCACAAGACTAGTATTACAAATAGAAAAACTGCTTCCTAAAACAATATGAGATTTATTTATTTTTTATGTTTAAACAAAAATTTAGCCCGATCCTTTTTCTGTTTCCTTTTCACCATAAAAACATGTCGACCAAAACAACAACTGCACAGTTGTTCTGATACTACTGAAGAAACAAGAAAATGTCTGCTGTTAAAATAAAATAGAAAATAAAAAAAAACTGCTTTTTCAGAATGAAACAAAAAAAATTACATCAAAACATGATTATAAAATAATAAAGCATCTCACGGTTCAACAACGAAGATTTATCTCAAAAGCTGCAAATCCAGAGTCAAAATTGGATCATTTATTTCTCATTCAACTAATTATAAGGACAACAGAGAATGTCCTCAGCTTCTCCTTGTTTCCACAACAATGTTTTGAAGAGTCTCCTTTGCTTCAAATTCAATCACTGCAAAGATTCACCCTTGAAACAGTTCTCACAACGACTGTTGCAGCTGTTGTGTCCTTGGGCAAGACGCTCCTTTCCAGGTGGTGGTGGCTGGAGGAACCAGTGGCGCCTGTATGGCAGCCTCATTTGTGTCAATGTAGCTCATCACCACCAGCGTTTGAATGTGTGTGTGAATGAGTGAAGGACTGGTTGTTTTGTAAAGCACCTTAGGGGATTGTAGAACTCAACAAATAGTTGAACATTTATCAGATGGGATGGTGGAATGATGAGAACTCACCCTTTTATGTGGTATTAATGGTTCATGAAGCAAAATTTTGTTAGTATCTTTAGGTTTCTTTTATATACTTGTTCTGTTTTTAAACAGTTTTCTCACTACACCGCGTCTAATTTAGCTCTGTGCATTGTAAAGCCAACCTCATTAAAACATATTAATGACATCATTGTAGTTACATAAGGAGGATATTTTACTGGAGTGTTTTTGGCAGCCTCTCCCTGGGCTGCCACCTTACCATGGTGGAGGGGTTTGAGTGTCTCAATAATCCTAGGAGCTAAGTTGTCTGAGGCTTTCTGCCTCTGGTAGGGTCACCCATGGCAAACAGGTCCTAGGTGAGCGATCAGACAAAGAGCAGCCCGAAGACCTCTTATGATGAATTATATAAATGAAAACCATGTTCCTTCACCCGGACGTGGGTCACCGGGGCCCCCCTCTGGAGCCAGGCCTGGAGGTGGGGCACGCTGGCGAGCACCTGGTTGCCGGGCTTTCACCCATGGAGCCCGGTTGGGCACAGCCCAAAGAGAAAACGTGGGTCCCCCTTCCCATGGGCTCACCACTCGTGGGAGGGGCCAAAGGGGTCAGGTGCAGTGTGTGACGGGTGGTAGTCGAGGGCGGGGACCTTGACGGTCTGATCCTCGGCTACAGAAGCTAGCTCTTAGCACATGGAATGTCACCTCTCTGGTGGGGAAGGAGCCTGATTTGGTGTGTGAGGTTGTGAGGTTCCGACTAGATATAGTCGGACTCACCTCAACGCACGGCTCTGGCTCTGGAACCAGTTTCCTTGAGAGGGGTTGGACTTTCCACCACTCTGGAGTTAATCCCACTGCGAGGAGCCAAGCAGGGGTTGGCATACTAGTTGCCCCCATCTTGATGCCTGTATGTTGAGGTTTACCCCAGTGAATGAGAGGGTAGCCTCCCTCTGCCTACGTGTGGAGGGATGAGTTCTGACTATGGTCTGTGCTTATGCACCAAACTACAGTTCAGACTACCCACCCTTTTTGGAGACCTTGGAGGGGGTGCTGGAAAGTGCTCCTTCCAGTGACTCCCTCGTTCTGCTGGGGGACTTTAACGCTCACGTGGGCAACAACAGTGAGACCTGGAGAGGTGTGGTTGGGAGGAACGGCCCCCCTGATCTGAATTTGAGTGGTGTTTTGTTATTGGACTTCTGTGCCAGTCATGGATTGTCCACAATGAACACCATGTTCAGACATAAAGGTGTCCATATGTGCTCTTGGCACCAGGATACCTTAAGCCGCAGCTCGATGATCCACTTTGTTGTTGTTTCATCTGACCTGCGGCCACATATCTTGGACACTCGGGTGAAGAGAGGGGCGGAGTTGGTGGTGAGTTGGCTCAGATGGTGGGGGAGGATGCCGGTTAGACCAGGCAGGCCCAAACGTATCGCGAGGGTCTGCTGGGAACGTCTGGCAGAGTCTCCTGTCAGAAGGAGCTTCAATTCCCACATCCGACAGAACTTCCAAAATGTTCCGGGGGAGGCGGGAAACAATGAGTCTGAATGCACCCTGTTCCGTGCCTCCATTGATGAGGCGGCCGACCGGAGCTGTGGTTGCAGGTGGCAACACCCAAACCTGCTGGTGGACACCGGCAGTTAGGGATGCTGTCAAGCTGCAGAAAGAGTCCTATCAGGTCTTTTTGACCTGTGGGACTCCAGAGGCAGCTGACGGGTACCGGCAGGCCAAGCGAAATGCAGCTCGGATGGTCGCCAAGGCAAAAACCTCAGCATGGGAGGAGTTCGGTGAGACCATGGAGCAAGACTTCCGTACAGCTTTGAGGAGATTCTGGTCCACCATCCGGTGCCTCAGGGGAGGAAAGCATTGCGTTACCAATGCTATCTATAGTGGGGATGGTGTGCTGCTGACCTCTACTCAGGACGTTGTGGATCGGTGGTCAGAATACTTTGAAGACCTCCTCAATCCCACCGACACGTCTTCCCTTGAGGAAGCAGAGTCTGGGGACTTTGGGCTGGCCTCTCAAATCTCTGGTGCTAATGTCATTGGGGTGGTTAAAAAGCTCCTCTCTGGCAAGGCTCCGGGGGTGGATGAGATCCGCCCGGAGTTCCTTAAGGCTCTGGATGTTGTGAGGCTGTGTTGGCTGACGCAGCTCTGCAATATCGCGTGGACATCGGGGCAGTCCCATTGGACTGGCAGACCGGAGTGGTGGTCCCCTTATTTAAAAAAGGGGGACCGCAGGGTGTGTTCCAACTACAGGGAGATCACACTCCTGAGCCTTCCTGGTAAGGTCTATTTAGGGGTTCTGGAGAGGAGGGTCTGTCGGATTGTTGAACCTCAGATTCAGGAGGAGCAATGTGGTTTTCGTCCTGGCCGTGGAACACTGGACCAGCTCTATACCCTTAGGGGGATCCTGGAGGGTGTGTGGGAATCTGCCCAACCAGTCTACATGTGTTTTGTGGATTTGGAGAAGGCGTTTGACCGCGTCCCACGGGGGACCCTGTGGGGGGTACTCCGGGAGTATGGGGTACCAGGCCCTCTGATACGGGCTGTTGGGTCCCTGTATGACTGATGTCAGAGCTTGGTCTGCATTGCCGGCAGTAAGTCGGGCTCGTTCCCAGTGAGACTTGGAGTCCACCAAGGCTGCCCTTTGTCACCGATTCTGCTCATAACCTTTATGGACAGGATTTCTAGGCACAGCCAAGGGCATCCATTTATGTGGCCTGAGGATCAGGTCTCTTCTTTTTGCAGATGATGTGGTCCTGTTGGCTTCATCAGAGCGTGATCTTCAGCTTTCCTGGAGCGGTTCACAGCCGAGTGTGAAACAGCTGGGATGAGAATCAGCTCCTCTAAATCTGAGACCATGGTCTTGATTCGGAAAAGGGTAGAATGCCTTCTCCTGATCAGGGATAAGGTCCTGCCCCAAGTGGAGGAGTTTAAGTATCTTGGGGTCTTGTTCATGAGTTAGGGAAAACTGGAGCGTGAGATCGATAGGTGGATTGGTGCTGCATCTGCAGTGATGCAGGCATTGTACCGGTCTGTCGTGGTGAAGAGAGAGCTGAGTCAGAAGGCGAAGCTCTCGATTTACCGGTCGATCTACGTTCCTACCCTCATCTATGGTCATGAGCTTTGGGTAGTGACCGAAAGAACGAGATTGCGGATACAAGGGGCTGAAATGAGTTTTCTCCGAAGAGTGGCTGGGCTCTCTCTTAGAGATAGGGTGAGAAGCTCCGCCTTTCGGGAGGGGCTCAGAGTAGACCCACTGCTCCTCCACATGGAGAGGAGCCAGTTGAAGTGGCTCGGGCATCTGGTCAGGATGCCTCCAGAACACCTCCCTGGTGAGGTTTTCTGGGCAAGTCCAACCGAGTTAGACCTAAAGGTAGACCCAGGACATGGTGGAGGGACTATGTCTCTCACCTGGCCAGGGAACGCCTTGGGATTCCCCCGGAGAAGTTGGCCCAAGTGGCTGGAGAGAGGGAAGTTTGGGCCTCTCGCCTTAGGCTACTGCCCTCGCGACCCGACTCAGGATAAGCGGATCAAAATGGATGGATGGATGGATGGATGGTTTTTGGCAGATGTAATGCCTTTTTGCCATTTTCCCCACACCTGGGGTTCACCTCTCTTAGACAGGGTTATTTGAGACCTTAATGATCTTACACTGCATGCTAATTAATATAAATTGAGCTTGGTTCCTCAATACAAGAATTTTCCTTGTTTTGTTGAAGGTCAATGTGAGTCATTGTATCAGTAGTAGTTCATGCTTGAGAAAAAATACATGAGTTGAATGCTGGGATAATCATTCGTCTTTAAATATTTAGGTATTCATTTTGTACTTAGTGTCTTTTAGTTGTGTTTTTCTTTTTTGTCACATGATGTCAGTCTATCTATCCATCTATCTATCCATCTATCCATCTATCCATCTATCTATCTATCTATCTATCTATCTATCTATCTATCTATCTATCTATCTATCTATCTATCTATCTATCTATCTATCTATCTATCTATCTATCTATCTATCTATCTATCTATCCATCCATCCATCCATCCATCCATCCATCCATCCATCCATCCATCCATCCATCCATCCATCCATCCATCCATCACCTGCTCCTAGAGGGCCGCTGCTGTTTCTCCACTCCTGATTGATTCAAACCAGGTGTGTTGGAGTGAGGAAACAGCCTTTTTACATTATGGTCAGCTTAATCTGGGGTCATTGCATTTACATTGGCATTGTCTGTTTTTCTTCTTGAGGAGTCGTCCACTTTTTTCTGCCCTGTTTCCCTGCAGTTTCAGGTTGAGCTGACCACACCCACCCACATATGGACTGATTGTCCAGCTGAAGTGATGTCACTCTCACGTCTACCTACATAATGGTACACTCCAATTGGTGAGGGTAGAATCAGCCAGCTGCAACTTCCTTCATGTGCGATTAATTAGCAATCTAGATGTAGTTGGGTAAACATCTTCTCTGTATGCAGCTCGGACTGGGCTGGGCCCCAGCGGCAGTGTGAGGACTGGCCTTCTGCTGTGAGTGGGAGAGGGGCCCATGGCAACACCTCTGCTCATTGAGAGGAGAAAGAAGCGGTGTGCTTCATGTCAAAGTCACCAATAGCAGCACTGCTCATGCCTGTTTTTATGAACTAACTTGTGGCGCTTAGGAATGACACCACAACCTTCTCTGTGCCACTTTAACGGAGCTTGCCCATGTCCTCATCTACATCCGTGGCCGTGAGAAGGTTGTGTAAACACAACCTGGCTATGCAGGTCTGCCCCAGACCAAGCTGACCAAAGTGCAAATGCATCAATAGAAAACATGCATGTAATGGCCCTCAGGGACAAGGTCCAAACAGCCTTGTTTTAATTAAAGGGCAAAAACAAGACAAATTTGAACTGGAAACCAATATAAGCCAAACATTACCTGCAAATATAACCTTCTGATTGCTTTTATTCCTATATATTGAGACCAGAAAGCTTTGTTTGTTTTATATATTCCAATAAATTAATTTTTATTTTCCACCACACCAAAAGAGTTCAGGAATACCCTAAGTGTCAGGACAAACTCCAAACAAGCAGTTGTTAAAAAGTAAAGCAAGCAAACTGTACATGTCAGGGGAAATAAATAAAGGCTTACATCTTGTTAGATAACAAGTATTAAATTGGCCTACCTTTTGAAGATGAGCGCAATGACAAAGTCCGGGTTGACTCTAACCCTCCAGTCGCACTCTTTCCCAGGGGGGTAAGGCTGGGGGTAATTAGGAGACAGAATCACACCAGAAGGACCGCTGACATTGCCCCCGCATGTTGCTGAAAAAAATCAAATCAAGAGAGAATGATAATGAAAGATCATTAAACCGTATTGGAATTTTAATTTGGAAAAAAATAATGCCTATTACCATCCACTAATTTTACCCCCAGACATTAGCAGAAAGGAAACTTGTTGGGTGTAGTGGATATTATGGCAGCGGTTGGTTAAAGGAATGAAAATCACCCTCTGAGGGTTGAAGATATTACCTCCAAAGGTGGTTTTCATGGTGAAAGGGCAAGAGTGAGAGACAGATAGTGAAATTAAGTTACAGAGGATGGAGCTGAGGGCAGTTAAGAGGAGGGAAAAATACGACTCCTGGCAGTGCTGTTATCCTACATTAAGCCGTAGAGAAAGGAAGAGGAACTGTCAGTAGAGACAGAAAGATGCATTCAAGCAGCAATTTGGTAATGTAAAAATTGAGCTTGAAGCATCGAGAGAGGTCTTCAGGGTAGAAGGGTTGTGTAAACAGAAAATCCTCACTGAAATAGAGGGAAACAAAGGTATTAACAGTTTCATGTTCCCAAAGACCTGACCTAGCTCACAAACACAACCATGGGACACAAAATGCAACATCAACACATGTATAGAAATCATCAACCTCACAGAAATCAAATACCTAGACGCGACATGGACTGGTGCAGCCTATTGGAACTTGCGTATTAGCAAGCCGCCATCTTGGATGCCTCCAGCAGTTTAGTGCGTACATTTCTTAAGAGGATGGTGCTTACCCAACTAAAAAACACATTTTTTAAATTATTTTTAACTAAATCAGACATATGTTATGGCATGATAATTAAAATATAATAAAATAAAATAAATAAAAACATAAAATCCCAACAGGCAGGCTAGGAAAATCATTAGTAATCCCACGTGATCTGTTTTCTTTTCTTTTCTTTTCTTTCTTTCTTTCTTTCTTTCTTTCTTTTTTTTTACTGTGTCCATTAGAATTGATGTCTGAATACAGAAGACAAGCCTTGCAGTTTTACTGTCACAGGTAGAGTGTAATAGCTTCTGCTATGATGACACGCCTGATACCAAAACTTTATTAGAAATATTTTCAGTTAAATACCAATGAACAGAGAGACAGAAGTGTAAGAGAAAGGGGGGGAGAGAGAAGGTAGAGGTGGGGGAGGGGGTTCACAAAAATAAACAATAAACGATGAACAAGAATCTGCTTCTAGACCTGCAGAAAGAGAGAGAAAGAAAAAAAGGGAACACACAAAAATACAACAAGACCAATATATCACTGCGCCAGATCATGTGATCTGTTTTCAATAGTGTGCCGGTTGTGCACAAAAATAAGCATAGATGCCCCACCCTGCGTTGACTCCAGTTGGGTTTGGTGAGAGAAACCCTTCCAATATGGCACTGTTATGCTCTCCAGCATCCAGTGGCAGGTCTACGCATTCATGATCACCATTGAAATAAGGTAACGATGCAACATGGGAGAAGGTCTAAGTTTCAGCTTCAGTTGTAAAAATAAGTCTGTTCCTTTGCTGCAAGCTGTCGAGTGGACATCACGTATCTTACTGCAGGATAATCAACCCACTAGCTCATATTGTTTACATTCCATTTCCAGCTGTGCATATCATACCTCACTCTGGGCTTGAATCCAGACCTCCATGATAATCACTCCTGATTTACTTCATTCATCCACTCTGATTAAATTGGCATGAACACTGAACTCAGTGCTGTAGTAAATCAGGAAGTAGAAATTTGTGTTTTTAACCTTAAGACAATCACCAGCAGTATAATATAACAAGTTTAGCCAAGAGACTCCGCAAACATACTAAAACTGGTATTTGCTCACACATTCAGATTTTGAAGTTGCCTATCCTGCTAACAGACAATGCTATAGGACCAGTCCAGAGCTTTGAAAAACATGACTTAATTATCGCTATGGAAATCAGTCAACAGGTCAGTCCGCCATACACATCATTTTTCTAAATAAAGGGCTTGAGTACCTATATATTCTCATGTCCAAAATTGATGCAAAAGTTATTTCAAACAAACTTGGTTCCTGATCCGACACCATCTTTGTAGTTTTTCTCCATGGTACTAAGCTTGCCCAATGTCTAGAAACATGCTGTGATTGGCTGGACCTGAAATGGGACTATGGACAGAAACTAGCTTCTTGCTAACTCCAGCATATTAACTTATTATGTATATTCATCAATGTGCTTTGTCACACTCAAAAAAAAATCTAATAATAATTTAAAAAAGGACTTGCAACTAAACTCTTAGAATGCATCTCTTGTCACATTGACTACAATGTCTAACTCAAAGAAAAATATCAAGTTTCAGCAGATCTGAGTAACTTCTTATGTTTTCTAAAGAACTTGGGTTTGTCAGAAAAAAAAACTGTGGAAGGAAAGGCAAGAAAGCAAAATACAGCGAGCGGAAAACAAACTGCAGCAGAATGGTAAACTTGAGTGGAAAATCCAGGAGCTCAGTGAGCTTCAGTCCACCAAAAAACATGACAGATGGTTGTGATAATTGCTAATTAAGTGAAGCAAACATGTTCAGGATTTTCAAAGTTCTGAAACAGGAACGTAATCAAAACTAAATCTATCGTACTTGATGAGACATATCTAACTTTAAAATGATTTTCCATATGAACACCTGCCTCACCATTTAAATATATTCTGCTGACAATTTTTTTTGCGCGGGGGGGGGGGGGGGGGGTGTTTTAAATATGATGAATTATTTAGAAAAAAAGAAACCGTTAAAAAATTATTGCTTGAGGCTGAGCGTCCCCAATTGGGGGCTGGAAAGGTTTAGCATCAAAATTTATGCCCTATATATCAATAAATATCATCAAGCCTAAACTCCTAAGAAGCTGCAGCACCTGGGCCACTAGTCCATGTAAACATGTTTTATGTGCTCCAAACACAAGTAAAACTACATGTATCCAGACAAATCACAATTCATACAGAAAAGAAATAAAAAAATCTACATTTTTACTGTTTTTGTAGAAAGCAAGCGGGCAGTGCCTTTATCCATATGAACTGTATCACAGCAGCAGGGGCAAGCATACACCTTGTAACTCTCAGCAGAACTTCCTCTGAACTCTATACTGCACCTGTGTACCTGGCTACCTTAATGACACCAAAGTAAACACATCGATCTTGTGGCTACAGAAATATATTCATTAAAGTGTGGGTGTGTCATTTGTGCCTCAATAAAACAATTTTTGATTAAAAAAATGCTTGGGGGCAAATTGTCTTGAACCATTAAAGTGTGATCAATTTATATTAAAATAAAAACATTTTTATATAGTCCCACCCCTAATATTATCTGGCTCCAAATGATCACACATATTTAAGTGAATAAATAAGAAACAATGCACAAGGTTACAAAATCTAGAAAGGTCTGTTTTTTTAAACATGCCTTTCAAGTATGATGAGTAGATTGGTCATCAGCATTCTGCAGAAAGCTGCACACCTACCCAAACATGTTGGAGGTTCAGGCTGCCAGTAGAACCTGTTATCCATCTGCACACATGTGATGGTGTCTTGGCCCTGCAGCTGATAGCCTGGGTCACACTGGAACGTCATGCTGTCACCAGGCTCCTTACTGTCCCCATACCGAGAACCATTTACAGGGATGCCTGGGTCATTGCAGGAAGTCGCAGTTGTCGCTGAGGAATTAAAAAAACAGACACATTATATATGGGTATATTGTTGAGTCAGGCTAAGAATGGTGATGTTATTGCAACTATGTTGTTACATGCAAAAATTGGAGACAGGCATAGATTAAACAAATCAAATTTAATATAACAGATCTGATTCCCTTCAAAAGTTCTCTCAAAGCAGCAACGTCCACTTCACATCAAAGTGAATCAAACAGATTCATATTAGAACAGGTCCAGACTCAACGGCAAAGTTTTTTACAATAGTTAAGAAATATTTTTGTGTACAAACTCAGTTTAACTACGCTAATGTCAGTATTCTGACACAAACTGACAATTTATCTGTTGTTTAAACTATTTTGCTCTTTCACTAAAATAAAAAAATAAACATTTTCCTAGAAATTATTTCACCTCAATTGTTTGTATTAGTGTGGCTGAATCAGCAATCACACTTTTCTTTCCCATGTCCCTTTATTCTCCACATTTTGTCAAACTTTAAAAACAGACATTCTTTGTCTGATTAGAAATACTCAGAAATCAAAGCATGCAGCTCATTCAGGACATTTAGCTATGATTTTAGCATTAATAACTTTTATACTTTCTAAATTCTTGACTTTAATTGAAGATAAATTAAAGCATGTAAAGGAGCTAACGCCACATTTGAAGGGTTTTGTGATTTGTGAAGGTGAAATTCTTCTGCATAGAGTGGTGATTCGATACAGTGATGTTTTTACCTTCTCAGTGGCCTAGTGGTAAAGTGTCCACCCTGAGACTGGGAGATCAGGGTTCAAATCCCTTTTAGGTCATATCAAAGACTTTAACAATGTCACCCACTGCCTCCCTGCTTGACACTCAGCTTTAAGAGGTTGGATTGAGGGCTAAACCACCAAATAGTTCCCGAGCGCAGCCCCAGCTGCAGCTCACCGTTCCCCACATGGATAGGGCAAATGCAGCAGAGGCGTGTCCAGGGAGTGGCCTGGGGTAGCACATGCCACCCTTGGAATCTGATTGGCCACCCCAGGTGCCACCACACTAATTTCCCTTTAAATAGGCTTTTCATTGTCTACAAAAGGCTTGAGGGTAAAACAAAAAAAAAGCATAACTATTGGTGCCACCCATGCACAAAGTTGTGCCTCACCTGGGCCACCCCATTTTAGTAGATCTAGACACGTCACTGAAATGCGGAGATACATTTCACCGGTCTGTGATGATGACTATGGGACTTTAGCTTTCCTAAATTTGAAGGTAACATTTTATCACGTTTGGAGAAAGTTTTGAATTCTTCACTTAAAGGAGTGACTCGCTGGAAAATCATTTTAAACCAATGTTTGTGATTATAATCAGAGATTTTCATGCAGGCTGAGAATGAAAATAGTTTCCTACACCTATCTCCTACATTAGCTTCTGCTAAAAAATTCTGATTCTCTAGGATTAGAAAAGCCTGACAGATCTACGTCACACTGTCACTTAGCATCCAAGGACTCACTCATCATGACTCACGACAGGGAAGGCTGTTTTTGGTTTAACGTCCAGGAATCAGCAGACAACTTTTCGACGAGTAGAAGCTAACCATTAGCATTAGCAACTTCACCATGTGGCAAAAGCCTTTCCAGGCTTGTCTCATTTGTGGAGACAAAACATCAACGTCGTAGAGCAAACAGACTCAGTAGTAAAGTCTCGTTGCTGTTATTAAATTCAAAGTGAGATGTCAAAATCTCACCAAATATCATGAAACAAGAGTCAAAATCCTGCCATCTGAAGCTCCTCCAGCTGACTTGTACTTCTAACCCTAACCCTAACCCCCAAACAGGCACATCTAATAATCCTTTAGTTATATTATTATTCCTTTTGTCAGATTCTAGTTTTTTTCTGACCATTGTGTTTTTTTCTTTCATTGACTAAAGGGTAGCAACATTTTTGTCCATGTCTGTATATAAATAGGTTTCAAGTTATTTGTGTACCTGAGGAAAAAAATAAGACATAAGGTCAGATAAACTGGGCTGTGCCAAGTCATTGATCCTGGCAATGAAACATGTTTTACATCATTTGACAGACCCCAGAAGATGAATGCCTTCATCACTCTCAGAGGAAAGGCTCATCAGATTGTCTCTGTTCTCTGTAATATTCCACCAGTTTCCATCCAAGTCAACCATATCACCCTATCTGATGAAACCCACCATCAGCAGCAAAAACAGAGACTGTCAAGTGGCACTTACTCTTGTCATAAAGTGCTTTGTGAAACTGGCCTGGACTCATAAGGTCTCCAGCCTCCCCCTCATGTTAGATAAATACCAGTATGCTTACAGAGCCAACAGGTCCAAAGGAAGTCATAGCCACAAATCTCAACAATGGCCTGACTGACCTGCAGCAGAGGGGCAGTCATACTACACTGCTCTATGTGGACTTAAGTTATGTTTTCAATACCATCCTCCCACACAGATTAGTACACAAACCAACAAACCTGGGACTATTGCTGTCCTTCTGTCTCTGGATAAAAGGGCTTCCAAGCTGTCTGATCTTTTAAACCCTTGCGGATGTTGACTTTATGACTGCACAAATAAAACTGCATTCACTTTTCTTGTACATGCCGCTGTGACAGCAAAGATGTGTTTTTCTGGTCAGCAAACACCGAAGTTTGAAAGTCTCTTTGAAAGTCTTTGTGGAAGCCCTACAGTACCAGAGCCTGAGTGTGGACCAGTAGAGTGTCTCTGGGGACACTGGATAGCATCTAAGCTTGAATGTGTCTGCCAGAAGAACAGTACACAATCCCAACGATACAATGTGCAAAGTTTGTAGTATATTTTATGTAGGTGTTTTTTCTTTGTGCTGCCGTATGTACACATACAAAATTTGCAGTCTGAACAGATGTGTCAATATTTTGTTTTGTTCTTATATTTGTCCCTCAATGCCTTGCCACTCACTCTGAACTGGATCTGAGCAGTGTTATGGTTTGATGATGTTAAATCGTTTTTTATTTTATTTATTTATTTATTTGTATTTTATTTCCTTGACATTCACCTTCTAAAATAAAACCAAAGATTTAATAAACTCAGGGGGAAAAAATCAACATTTTACGCAGCAATTTGTGAGTTTAACACAGCAGCAAAGAGATCTTACCACTTTAAGTTATTCCTTTAAAAGTGGATTTCAGTGATTTGTGAGGTAGAAACTTTATCGACTTCAGATTTGACAGCCCTTCTGTAGCCCTCTGCTGACCAGAAACTGCACACAACTTTTTTGTGGAACATGCAGGTGCACTGGGGGAGCTCTGTACCTGCTTTACAACTGTTGGCTGTGTACTGTGCCAATAGCTAATTCAAAGGCTACCAATTACGTTTTTCAGTTTGTCGATGTCCAAAGATAAAGCTCAAGAAGAAAAAGAAGTGGAAGAAGAATTTAGTTTTTTTTGTTGGCATAATGATTGAGCTTGGAAGAAAAACGGAAGACAGTGTATTTGGAGGCGAGGCAAAGAGTTAACATCAGAATGAAATCAAAGCGGCCTACACTCATTTGAAGGAGCTAAAGGAGGCTATGAAATCATGAACTGATGATGACCTAGCTTTGTTGTTATTGGACTTGTAAATAATAATATTTTTTAGTCAAACAGGTAGATCGTTTTACTTTGTGGCTTATTTTAGTATTAGTTGGCTCATGTTAGTGTTAGCTCCTAGTTAGAACTAGCTACAGCGGGGTTGTTTACAACTGTTGTAATTCCACGTTCAACCAGCAGAACAGCAAACCTGGAAACTGTTCAGTGTTACACTAATTTTACCAAATTTTAACAACTATAGAGAAACATTCTTTTTGAGAAAATGTGAGTGTAGATTAACAAAACATATTTGTTACCATAAAATTAAGCAGATCTTTTCAAAAATAAATCAATAAATAAAAATTCAATAAAAGATTTTCCATATGCAAGACTGCCTTTTCAGTCTTAAAAACTGGCACATGGCCAAAAATAACCTTAAAAATGAAGTAGAATACTTTTCTCACAGCAAAGAAGCCCATTTCCTCACTGCAGGTAATATAAATGATGGAGAACAGCACATGAAAAATATTGTATTAAGGTCACTCATATTGTTCATTAAATCCTGAAACTTTTGCCTATTTGAAAGAGAGCAGCTCTTCAGTGAGTCAACATGGATGAATCATTACCATAGTAATGGAATGGCAGTGGTTTGATTACCATGTTAGTGAGTGTAAATATTTATTGCTTTAAGTATGGGGTGGAGATGCAGAGGGAGATAAAACCTGCCACATGTAAATATTCATGTTGTGTTTTTAAAGAATGGCTTTTATGTACGGTGGACTTTTCGTGTGTTCATATTAAATCATTCAGATTTGGATAAAATAAAAACAGAGTGAAGTTGTACTGCAGCAATTCCAGGCAATAAATCCTAAAATTTGAATTAATTGGTTTGATTTATCATATGAACACACCTAAGGCCATATAAAGATGTGTAACAACTTTTTTTTACTTGTTAAGAGTATCAAGAATGCCAGTGAAGAAAAACAAAACTCGAATGTATAATTCTGATTTGCCGAATCTTTGATTTCGCTCATATACTAACTACAATAATTTATTAAAAAAGTAAATAAGTGATTTATTTGTATACAAGCTTCAATTTAGGCATTTAGAACTACACACTACAAAAAAAGCAGAAGACAATAAACTACCATTGGAGAGATTATGTCATAATCAGAATAGAGCCATAATTCTTTTGTGGGTTGCCTCAGTAGTTACTTGTGAGCCTGGGCCCCATGGTGATACATTAAACGTCTCATTTGATAGTTTTTCAGAAATCTGGTTTTATAATGACTCATTGTTACATAAATGATGTTATTGCCAATGTAAATCAAGTTTGTTTCATTGTGAAAACTGAATGAATTTGCTAATTAACTAATTTAATTGCTTATTCGGTAATTGGCTTTTCTTTAGAAATGAAGAAGGGATTTAAAGTAGAGTAGACCACCCTGAACAGCGATTTGATCAATTTAAGATTGCTTTTCTATTTACTTTCAATTTAGATAAATAATATATGAAAATGTGGAACATATACAGCTACTTACTGGAAAACTGAATGGAAAATCCTTGCTTGCTTATAAAATAGTCAGAATCAAACTGCAGAGTCAGTATGTTGAAAGTTGAGTGGATATCTTCCGGCAAGGCTGGGCCAGACCACTCCTTCAATAGAATCCCACCATCAGATGGTCCAGATGGACCGTCCCAAACTCTCAGAATGTCATGGCCAACCTCGGTGTCAAAGACGATGAAGTGGAGGCTAAGAAACCACAAAATTATGAGAAACGAGAAAGCTGTTCTGCTATTTTGTTCTCAGGAAGAAAGATTCACAAAAATGTAATATGTAAAAAAATTTGAATATGGTGCAAAAGTACATAACAAGAAATTAATAAAAATGCTAAAAAAAAAAGAACCCAGGTTCTAATCAATACAGTTTTCAATTGGTAAAAGCTTTAGTAATAAAGGTAAGTTTTCATTTTAGCGTTAAAAACTTCCACCGAGCATGCTTGTCTGACGTCCTGTGGCAGAGCATCCCAGAGCGACGCAGCACCAAAAGCAAAGTCACGTCCACCCAGAGTCATCCGCTTTATTTTCAGAATAAAACTCCTGTGCTATGTGACTGCAGTGCCCTGGACTGAACATATGGGTCCAAGAGATCAGCGATTTATGGTGTCATTACATTTATTTCAGTAATTCAACTTCAAAATAAACTTATATATGAGACATTTCATTTCATTTTTTAGACAGAATCATTACATGCAAAGCAATCTAGTTCAAACCTTCATTTGTTGTAATTGTGATGATTATGGCTTACAGCTGATGAAAACCCCAAATTAAAAATCTCAGACAACTAGAATATTGTGAAACGTTTCAGTATTCTCACTCTAATCTGCTGATTAAAGCTAACATAGCTAACATAAAACATTATTTTTCCACTCCCTTTAACACCCTTCTAAAATAGTATAGATATAAATATATTGTGGAGAAAAATAATAATAAAGTGATTTTCTCACCAATAACACCAACACGACTCGGTCTGAAACCAACTTCAGACCATCCTGTTGTTGGTCTCACTGAACCACCACTTTTCCGCATTTACCTGGGTCCTTCATGCATTACGCACTTGCGCAACAGAACACCACTGGTGTGAGGTTTTCCGCTCATTAATATAAGAGAAGGAGAAACAGCCGGCTGCTACCATTTGAACTTTAGGACAAACTCCGAGAATCACAAAAAGACAAACAGTTGTGGAGAAAAAAAGATGTTGAACCTAGAAAACTGCGATTGGTATTTACTCTTTTACTCTGGCAATGCAGGTCATGCAGACATGGGATGATACCCGACCAGAAGGGTGAGTGTTTGTGACCGTGTTTGTGTTTAAAAGCTAGCTTGTTTGCAAACTTGCTTTTGCAGCTTTAATCCAAAACACCCGCAAAGGGTTCCTGAGCCTTTTGATGGTCTCAGCCTAAACTGAACTATTGAAATGAGTAGACTCTTGCACCACATTCAAATTTTTCGAGTTTCGCTTGCAAACCAAAATGACTGATAATTACCTGATGGTCTTGCCTGTATCAGCCTCTATAGTCCAGGTACAGTGGAGGTTGTTGTCATATGGAGCGGGATATCCAGGTGACAGAATCCGCCCGGACACCGCTCCAGTTATGTGACCTCCACATTCAGCTTCAAGGAGAACAAAGACAGGAACAAGTAAAACAACATAGCAGATACATAAAAAAGCTTATGATGGTGATGAAAAAGCAATTATTTTTGCTAAATGTTATCAACAGGACAAATCCCAGGGAATAAAAGAGAAAATGCAGCATACCAAAAATTATATTTAAATTCTTTCTATTTTTTATAATTGTGTGCCAAAACTTGTAGACTTGTTCAAACACTCTGGACCCGAGATGTCCTTTGTTAAATAATCAGTTTTCCTGGTTTTCATTCAAGACTCACTATTGCTTCATCAACATTTCATTCCCCCCCCCCCCAAAAAAAATAAAGATCTAAACCACTTTGCTGAAAACCACATTAAGGTAGGAAATCTGGATTAAACGACAATCAGCTAAAAATCGCTTGAAGATCAACCTTGCTTTACTCTCAAGGTCAAGAAGAAAACTTCTTAAAGCTATAAAGCCATAACAGCCTTCCTGTAGTGTTTACATTCTTAGAAAAAACCGCTGCCTGGAGCACAAGAGAGAATTGAGTTTTATCGTATTGTTATTTTTAGTGGGAATGCTAATGGGAGCTATGGAGACGCGGTGAGAAAAGCTTGGAGCAGATTTGAAACCTTGGTGCTCATAGTGGCCCACTGAGCTGGAAGATCACTGCTGATTAAAAAACAGTTTGGCGAGCGGGCTTCATATATGTGTACGCTGAGTATTTGTGTGAGTTTAACAAGCACTGCAATTACTGCCCTATAATCTACGAAACCATGACAACCTACAGCCACTGCATTACCCAGGATGCACACATGTTTATACGTGCAGGCAAGGCAGCAGATAACCATACTATCACACACCCTTATGAAGTCATTGAAGCTCTCACACACACACACACACACACACACACACACACACTCACACACACACACGCGCGCGCACACACACACACACATCATTCCTTTCACACTGACAGACATGCACGCATGCACACACACTTGTTACAATAGCTGATAGAAAACACAGAAGGAAAGCCAAATATTCTGGTGTGTTTCATCATAAAAGCAAGAGAGGCTGGGAACAAGTACAGACACTGGAAGAGGAACACAATAATAAGCCTGGCTCAATAACAACTACAATCAGGAGGGTGGAAATGGCGATGCAGTCATATATAGAGAACGTGATCGACAGGCTGACTAATTGAATCATAAAACAGGGAAAAAAAGTGAAGAGTTCAACAAAGGTAGACCACCGCTCAGTTTGATTCAATGCAGGAGATCCAGAGAGAGAGACGACATGGAAACAGCCCGGAGCAAGGCCATCTCCGAGCTCCATGTTAATACACATAAATGTGGGAGAAAGGAGGAAAGATGGGCAAAAAGGAGAAAGGTGGAAAAACAAGCATAGAGGTAGCTGTAGTAGCAGTTTGCCCAGAGCTCTACAAGCAAGAAGTCTCTGGAAAAAGCCAGTTTTCCTCTTTTTAAAACCCCAAACCCATTAATTATTAGTCACTCCACATATTAGTATGAATACGTTTTTATAGAAGTTAATACCAGCTGTGTCCGTGTGCTTACGATTATCTCACAAAGCTCAGGTGTACTGGCACAAAGTTTGGTTCCTAGAGTAAATTTGCCTGCATCTACTGATAAAATAAACACAGTTTCCAGACGAGTAAGATTTATGGGTTTCAGCAAACACAAATTTGCTTCAGGGATTTCAAAGCTAGCCAGGAACAATACAGCAATACAAATGAACAAATGCTGCTTCTGCTTTGCAGGGAGTGGTTCAATGATAATACGCCTTCTGACTAGCTTGCTGCTCATGCTGCCCCTAAAACACACAAAACACCTTTCACAGGTCTATAATCACAGTAAAGGGAAATCCCAACAGTAGGGTCCATGAAATGTGTATTATACTTTCACTGTCTCCGTTAGAGTGAATAAAGGGTTTAAAAAGCTAAAACTAGTCTAAACAAACCTGCAAATTAAAATATTCAAATAAAATATAAAAGTCTAGAAAAGACTGACATTGACAGCAAAGCGATCACCAGCATGCCATCAGTGCATTAACAAATTTCACTTTTCTTTAGACTCAAAAGACATTAAACTGCCTTTTTTAGGCCATGAAAAGTCAAATGGAAAATATATTTATATATTTTAAAAACAAAATGCGCAAGTCATTAAACCTGTTTCACTTTCAGACTCTTGAAATATTCTAAATTGTAACTCACAATTTAGAAAAGTAAGTGACAGAATATGTCACAGTGACTCAATATATCAGATTTAAGGCAGAGGTGCAATCCACTACAGAATAAAAAGGCACACATACCCAGGTAGAGGGAAGTAGCTTAAAAATCCCTTTGGAAAGTAAAACAAGAAGTGAGCTTTGATATGCGCTGCAGATGCCTTGTTACTTTTAAGACTTGAATTAGGATTTTTTTAGTTGATAGGGCCTGTGGTTAAATTCTGAATGATGTTAGCCCAGGTTTTGGGTGTGTGGGGGAGTAGAGGAAGGTGGAGTGTGCAGTGTATCTCTGTACGCTGCTTTAGACTTAGACTGCTGGAGGACATACTGACCACTTTCCATACTCTGCTACTTTCTTCTACCACTACTCTCCAATTGCATCATTTCAGCTTTTAACTGAAGAAGCTAGACTGGAATTCCCCTGAGCTGTTGTGTCTCGTGGAGGGGGCCATCACTAGCACACTGCTGCCAACCACTCAACATCCCCTCCCCTCCTCATATGACAAATAACATTTAACTTTATTTTTTAACTTATTCACTGCCATTGACAACTAAAGTCGTCAATTTCATTTTTTAATGGGGCAGGCTTGAGAAGGAGCTTGCGCTCTTTGAGAGTAAACATCATGGCTCTAAAGTTGATTTTCATCCGTGTGTGTCACACGTCACGTGATTAGGACACAGTCAGTCCATGAATTAGGAGATCGTTTTGGGATACTGCTACACCTAAAGCGAGGCACAAACCGGAAAAGCTTCCGCAGCTCGCACTCCAACAACAGATTGTAAAAACAGAAAAGGCTAGAAACAGGCTGATTCTTCCTGATGTAAGAAATGAGTCTACTCTGTTTTTTTTTTTAGTTTGGGTGTTTACATGATCATAGGGCACAATATTTTAAGAATCTTCAAACAACAGTAAAAATACTCAAAAATGCTGGCAGCCAGCAATTTTCTGTTCAGAAAACAGCAGGCAGTGAATGCGTTAACATAGAATGTGCTACTACTAGTTCATCAGGGTTTTTTTTTTTTGCGTACATATCTGTTCTGTTTTCTCAGACCCTCAGTGAGCCGTGGCAGATGGCTGCTCAAAATGAGCCAGGATCTACTGGAGATTTCTTTCTTAAAAAAGCATTTCCTCCCCACTGTCACTACATACTTGCTTAGTATGGCGATTGTTGTAAAGACACTGACACAACAAGTCGGTGACTCGATGCCATCTGCTGGGTTTCCTTAGATGGGAAACATTTAACTAACTGGCATAATGACTTGTACTCAATGCCCTGATAACTAGGGTCAACTGGGATGTTTACTTTGTGAAGTGCCTTGTGTGAGATGACTCAAAGGGATTTGGTGCTTTACGTATAAACTAAACTGAAAAAAATCTCCACATTTACATGTTCACATACAATCATGCTGTCCCACACCTAACTACACAATAGTCATGCATCAGTGTGGGGTTTGAGTGTTTGAGTCTATCTTGCAATGAAAATCCTTAAGAAGAAACAAATTGCCTTTAGTCTCCCCAAGAATGAATTGTGCCTGCAGACAACATGACAGGAAGCTTCTGTCAAAGTCACCAAAGTGAAATAAAGTTCAGAGGCAACTGTGCAAATAATAAACAACGCGGTGTTTGTTGGTGACCTTGTTTACAGATGAAGCAAAGAGAGATTATGTTGATTTAACAAGCTGCAATGGTATCACAGGATAGATTTCCTAAGTTTTTTTTTTCTTTTATCAAAACTATTCATCTGTTTTGACTCGATCATTAACTCTCCCTGCTTTTTTTGAGTCATTGTGCTGCAGCCTAGAAACTGAATACAGTTGCTTTGAATGCTGCTTCTGACTTGGCTGTCATTGAAAAGAAAAACTGCCTGAGGATTAATATTTAAACCACTGTAGTCCTGATTTATTTATGCCCATGAGAATATGCACGGTTGCTGGCTTACTAACCAATACAGGAAGGGAGCGGTTTGTCCCAGACTCGTCTGTCACCACTGAGACAGGTCAGTGTGCTGCTGCCATGGAGGCTGTATCCGGGGTTGCAAGAGTACAGGACAAACGTGCTGGCGTAATGACCGTCATCCTGGATCTTGTATCCATAACTGGGGACTCCAGGCTCCTCGCAGCGTACTAGGTCGAAACCTAAAAAAAGACAAGCAACGACACATAAAGAAAGTCAAACACACACGATTATCTCTTCTTGACTATAAATGAACAAACAGATTCAGTTCTAGACAAAAGATCAGAAGGTTACTCTAACTTTGCCCTGAGTGTCTCAGCTACTTTGTAAAACTCTGAATGCAAACATGCTGATAATAATTCTAAAAGTAGCCACACATCAGCTCAAATCTCCACAGAAAAAAGATAATCGTAGCACTAGTCATCATACTGAGTGCATTATTTGAAAAGGTATGAAAAAAGAGAAAAGGGATTACATGTATGACCTCTTTACAATACTGTTCCCGTGGAAAATGACCCTTCATCAGAACCCTCGTTTGTGATCATCTAATGCAAATATCACACAACTCTATTTTTAGACAGGCCTGTGTAGTTTTAATTTTTATTTATTGCTGCATTCGGATCAAATCTGAGTTTGGAAATGAGAGTCTAACCACATGCATAAATCTTATAATAAATATTGGCAACTGAAAAAAAAACAAAAAAAATACATTTTTAGAAAAAAAAATCAACTGATGTAGATGAATAAATTACCCATACTTGAATAAAATAAGGGGGATGTCTCTAATGTGTTAAGTGTAGCAGTTCAAACAATTCAGGCACACCAATTTGACTTTTGATAATAAGCAACATCTAAAAAAACTTTCTTTAACTTTTGATGAGTCTCAAACAAGAATAATTTCACTCTGATACGTTTCAGTTCGACTTGGTCCAGAATTCTCTGTTAACCACAATCACAAACTCTGAGCCCGTACCTTTGTGGGTAGGAGAAGATTTTATTTGATACTAGAAAAAAAATAACAACTTTGCTTTAAATCTGTCTCTAAATGTGTTTTGCTTTGAAGGTAATCTGCTTGATTTAATGTTTTCTGGAGCTAGATGAACTGTGTGATCAATTCCAGCAGCAGCATGCTTTACTGCAGCTTTCGTGTACTTTACATACGTGCATCTTTTTATCCTCTGTAAACAAACAGATGCACTGCAAGCCTAAAACACTTTGCTTGGGTTTTATCACTCCACAGAGCATCCCTAAGTGACTGATTCTAGGAAAGTTGTTTCAAACTTCAGACTTGTCAAAACATAGATTTGCAAGATTACTGCAAGTGTCTCCGTTGAATCTTAAATACAGCTCCGATCAAAAGTTTAAGACCACTCGATAAATGGCCCAAAATCCTGTTTTGCATGGTTGGATCTTAAAGTAGAGATTCGACATGCAGCAAGATGAAATGGGAGTGAGAAAACATTTTCTGAGCAACAATTAAAAACTACAGTTAAACTGGAACAGGCTGTACAGCTGATCAAAAGTTTGACCATAAAAAATGAAACTCCCCAAAGCCAAAACCAAAGTACCAAGTAGCTCCAAGTGTTTTCATGAGGTGAGTGGTGAAATGGTGAAGGTGGATGCATGAAGGGCATCTACTCTCTGGAACTGTTCAGCATTTTTGTGAATGTCCCTTGCCATCAATCTCCAAAGCTTTTCAACTGGATATAGTTGAGAGGAACACACAGAGAGGTCCAAAGATACATGCCCCATTCATGGTGGCACTGAGAAAACATCTCAGGTGGGATGTGTTTGTACTTTTAGTAGAATTAATCCATCCATCCATCCATCCATCCATTATTCATTCATTTATTATTTTACATTTATTTTTGTGGCAGGAATATTTCAACATATAGAGTAGGAATATTCTTTCCCCTCTACATCTCAACTTCCCCCAGACTTGGATTACAGAAAACTTGATGACACAGAGGGGAGCAGTATATTCATCATGTTGGATGACCAGTCTATCATGATGGTTGAGAATATTGTTGGACCTGCTAGTTCCAAAGAAAGCCCCATCTGTGCGCTGCATATTCTCCAAGGTGCCAAACGAGCTGCACCAAAAAGGTTGCAACAACCTACGAAGTATTTTATCTTTTGGAACGTCGGCTTTACTGCAGACACTTTGGTATTTGCCAGATAGTATTTCTTATTCTCACTGCATGCTGAAATTATTCCTCCCTTTATCGAAAGTGTTAAGTGCCAAATGCTCAGCAGTTGTGTTGCTTTCACACAGCAGAGCAGGAAATGCAAGCAATGAGACATGCTGAATTATTGTGAAATAGACACACAGTGAGCAGACGTAATTCCGTGTCATGTTGCTAAAAAAAGAATATATATATATATATATATATATATATATATATATATATATATATATATATTTTTTTTTTTTTTTTTTATTTATTTATTTATTTATTTATTTGGAGCTAAATATACACTTTATCTGGTTGTGACCTCCTAGATCAGCAAAAGAGTCTTGGAATAGAAAATAGTTCATCTTAATGAAATTCCTCGCAGTGTGCAAACCGGAAGTCTCAGTATCTGATCGTCGAGGGCAACAACCCAGCATGTTTTAGTTGTTTCCTGCTCTAACACACTTAATTCCAAGGGAAAATCACCTGTCTAGAATATTAACCCCCTGCTAATTGAAACCAAATGTGTCTAAGCAAGGATTAAAACTAAAAAAATACGGAATTGTGCGCAATGAGGACCAGAGTTCAAAATACCTGGAGAAAAAAGTATGGAAGGACAGATTCAAAACAAATATCTTAATATCAAATCAGTTTCAAGACAAAACAAAACAACAAATCTGCAACAAAACTAAGTTAAACTTGTGTCTGTGAAAAGTTCTTTTTTTTACACTATTCTTTTTTTTTTGTTTTGAAGATATTTTTTGCACAAGAGGACGCAACAGTTAAGACAGAGCTATATATCACTGTACACACAACAACTCTTCCACAAGAAGCCATTTGTAAGTTTAAATGAACTTGAGCAGTACGTTTACAAATGCCAGTCTCTCGCTGAATCCATTAAACAGATGCACCTCACTTCAGTTAACCTTTCTCGGTACGGTCTTGTGTGAATTCTGATAGCTGTATTAAAACTGCCTCTAACAATATGTTCTTTTAAACCTCTGCTCCTTACTGCTCCATTTCTTTCTCTCGCTTTAACCCAAAAATATCAATCACTCTTATCCAAGCATCAGCTCACGTGTAACCGCAGAACTCAGAAGAATGTGTCACCTTCTTCCAGTTTAATGACTTGCAGATTGGGGCCGTTTAATGGTTTTACTGACATGTAGAGCATCTATAATAACCGTATACCATTTACCTTCATTTGTTTGTCCCGCTCGCCCAGCCGCTATTCCACTCCAGATGTCACTCTCACCTTCCTTAAATGACTTGCAGACAAATGTTCCTTTAATGGCCTCTTTGACTTACAAAATGGCTGGTCTGGTGTTCTTAACAGGCTCTCTTTAAAGTTAGGTGAGTGTGTGCAGTATTTGTGAGAGGAAATGAGAGCCTGTTTCAAACATTTATATCACTGTCGCTTCTTTGTAAGTTTACCAAGATATAAAACAGAAATGGAATGGAAAACATGTAGGTTTCTATACAGCTGTTGAAAATTAAAAGAGTAAAACTGTGATTTATATTGAAAAAGGGACATTTGCTTTATTTTGGTATATACGGTGGCCTTAAAGGTTCAACTGATTGAAGTTGTGAGGACAGTGTATTCTAGATGAAAAACTATAAAATAATTACCTCAAATAATTTATACAACACTAGAAAACCAATCTTTGCGATAAAAATCAAGCCATATTTCTAAATCATCTGTTGGAGGTAGCTTACTTGTGTATGTGAGGCGGAAGCCCTGATTGGTTCCAGAGGCATTGCTGTTGAACTCCAGCCAAAGGTGATTGGATGTGCTGTTGATGACACGACCCAACATACCATCAAGTGTAAAGTTGCCAAGGAGACGGGATGATGTATTCTCTCCGTCATAGACCTGTCAATCAAAACACACGGGTGTTTGCAGAGCATTAACAAATCATGATTCGGAGCTATTTTGTTTAGCTCATCTTCAGAGTATAGAGCATAAATGATCTGCCTGGCTTACTTAAATTATTGTTTGCCATATTTGAAAATAATGCAGAAAGTGCCTCCACTTAACTCATTCACTGCCATTGACGACTAAAGTCGTCATTTTAAATCCAACCGTTCACTTCCAATTTTTTTACTGTGTGTGCGTCGGAACGAGCCCCCGCACAGTGAGAACTAACATCTCAGCTCTAAAGCCAATCTTCATCCGCATATGTCACACGTCATGTGATCAGGAAGCAGAAAATCCATGTGTTAGGAGATCGATTTGGGCCGCTGCTGTAAAAAAAAAAGTGAGGCGCGGACCAGAAAAGCTTCTGCCAATTACAATTCAACAAAGGATTATGAAAGAATGGATACAGCTCAAAATGCGCGGATTCTTCCTGATGTAAAAGGCGAGTCTCTTTGTTTTGGTCGCTTTGTTTTGGTTGTTTTGGCATCGACATCATCCTGGCGCACAACGTTCTGTGACTCTTAAAAAAACGGTAAAAACAGTGAGAAACGCTAGCATCAAATGGCTTTACCGAAACGGCTGTGAGCGAATGAGATAACACCCCAATGAACAATGAAGAGAGCTAATGTTTCTCCAGTGTCAGAGTTAATTTAATGTTTCACCTGGCTAAAGCAGCGGCCTTCTACCTTTATGACAGGAACATACATTGTACCATCTGCACAATGAAATATAATTTGTACAGGGTCAAAAAAGAATTAGCCCTCAAACTTAAAACAAAGTTATTATGTGTCTTCATATCTGTAAAAAATCTGAGTTCATACAGGGAGACAAACTTTCTTGGATAGCAAGTTATTAGTAATTCTAGCAGTTGTGCTTCTATGAAACCCATCTATTAATCTATTATTTATCTATGCACCTATCATTTGCATAGACAAACTACAAAATGTACTTTTTCTCATTGTCAGCTTAAATACATTAATGCAAAACAACTGCACTGATGCACGCACCCTTATATGTTAACCAATGCTCAGTTTTGCACTGCACTCCGGGTCCACTGAAGAAAACAGTGGAATCAACAGTTGACAATACTTATAAAGCAGGGTTTTCACTCCTGGTCCTCAGTGCCCCACTGTCCAGCGTTTTCAATGTCTCTGCTTCAAACACGAAAGGTGATTTACATATTTGAATAGGCTCCTACGGAGGACATCAAGTGCTGCAGAAGGCCGTTAATCAGTCAATAATTTAAGTCAGGTGTGTGTCAGTAGAGAAACATTAGAGTTTCAAAGGGCAACAAGGAAAACATGTAGTACAGGGGGGTACTGAGGACCAGGGTTGAGAAACCCTGTTTTAAAGTGAGAAACCTAACCAGTTTCACATCTGACACCACTTGGCAGCAATCTAAAAAACACACTAAATAGTTTTGTGGAGCAAGTAGGTGCCCTATAGCTTTTAAGCTAGTGGTTTGTATTTTTAGTTTATCGATCGTCAATTAAAAGCACGAGAAAAAGAAAAAGAAGAAGCTAGCTTTTTTTAGTTGGCATCATGGCGGAGCCTGGAATTAAAAGTAAAATAGTAATGTCTTTGGAGGCGAAGCAAAGAGCTAAAACCGGAGTGAACATCGGCGCAGCCCACACTAGTTTGGGGAAGTTAAGGGAGGCTACAAAATCATGGACTGATGGTGACCTGGCTTTGTTGCTGCTGGACTTGTAAGTAATACTATTTTTTGTCCAACAGTGTGGATCGTTTTACTCTGTGGTTTATTTTAGTATTAGTTGGCTCATGTTAGTGTTAGCTCATTGTTAGCGCTAGCTACTGCAGGTTGCAGCATGATTGCAGTTCCACTTTCAACCAGTAGGGTGGAGGACTTTAGTGAAAGTGAGGATGCAGCAGACTCAAGTCAAAATTCAGCATGAAGCTTCTTCACAGAAGAGGATTTCTCAAGCTGTGATAAAAGCTGAAAATGTGTGTTTATGTTTAGAAAAATTACACAGCTAAAATGGGTTAATTTTACAGAAACTAGTATGAGTAACGATTCATTCATGACTGCCACACACCTTTGTTTCCCCTTTTTTCTACTCTACAATGAATTAAACAATTAGTCAGTGTCTGCGTGTTGAGCTCAGTTAGAAGTAACAAGAGTAAAAACACTTTAGGACAAATCAAATTTTGTATGACTCAGCAAGCTATTTCATGCGTTAATTTCCTTTTTTATTTATTTTTTAATGAAAATTAACTTTTTGACCTTTCGCAACTTGTTTAATCCTTTTATTATTGCGTTATTTTCCTTTTCTTATCTTTAAAATAACCAAATAAACAATGTTGATTGATTAATTGATTAATTGATTAATTGATTGATTGATTGATTGATTGATTGATTGATTGATTGATTGATTGATTGATTGATTGATTGATTGATACTTTTATTGTCTAGATTTACTCCCCGTGTCACTCAGAAATTTTGTAAAAACAACGTTGGGTGGAAAGAGGAAAAACTCTTAGACAGTTTTCCTAAAGTGAGCAGTCAGATTGAGAAGAGATTATGGAATCTTACGACAAAAAAGGTTCAAGAATCCTTTTCAGTGTTTTTTTAAAGTGTTATAATGCAACTTGTCAAGCCTAAAATTGACATTTGATTTAGCAAATCTCCTGTATTGCTGCAATGCGAATATGTTTTGTTCGTGCTTGAACTGCTCAAGTTTATGTTTGGCAGCCTGTGACATTTCCCCAGATTGATGGTGACAGGTCTGCAGGTGGTAAGAATGCCAAGGAACCAGGCAATAAGGTGATGTAGTGTTTTACATTTACAAGTATTGCCAGTCAGAGGAGACATGTTACTATTGTCTGTTTTCTCTGGAAAGCATAATATGGAGAAAGACCGTATGAAATGTCAGTGGGTGCAGTATTACTCTGCTAAACGTAATTTTCCCTTGCATGCTTTCTCCCCCTCAGCTTTGCACTCGGTTACGGCAAATTTTTGCATTTTGCTGTCTTGCTTTCCCCTTTTGTAATTTCTCCCTGGCTTTTTCTCCAGCTCCCTAGTTTCTGTAAAACTCAGTATGGTTAATGAAAAGCCCTGCAGCTCATAAATCAACATGTCACCATCTGCCACCCCTCCCCTCTCTGTCTGACTCTCTCTCACATGTTGTTCTGCCACCTTTATTTCTGTAACAATTCCTCCACATCACTGTTTTATTTCTTTTCTCATCCTCTTCTATTTCTATATATATATCTGAATAAATGTGGGCAAGTCGTGCGCTAAGCGACATTTTTTGAGCAACTCAGCTTGGTGAGCCCTTTCTTTGACCGTAGCAGGATGAAACCTTAGCCAATGGCAAGATATATTGTAATGATTTGGTTCAAGTGCTACAGGAGGTTTTAGCCTCAAGCCGACTGAAAGTGTCAAACAAATGGTTTGTGTTCAGAGTGTTTAGCTGCAGTAATGAGAATTAGCCCCATCATGGTTAGCCTGCAAGCAGCAAGCTAATTGTCAGCCTATATGGGACTTAGTGGCATTTTCTTTTGGCTCGTTACATATTCTGCCGATTCTTCAAAATCATGCTGACATATATGTTGTTGGCTACATTACTAGAGACGGATGATAAAAGGATTAAATCATTCAGAGAAAGATGTAATAACCCAGAAAACAGCATTGCATCTGCAAAATCTGCATTATTACAGCATGTATTTTTTTAAATAGCAATAAAGAACAATGCAAATAATACATTAGGGAGCTAGGTCTTCAAAAACTTAAATAAATAACATTTGTTTATCTGTTTGAATCCTTATCATTTTTAGCTCTGTGCCAGTGGTGGAGGCTAAGATAAACATAATAATGTGAGTTATATACACAACAATAATATAAGAGTTGTGATTGTAACAACATATTGACAACCAACACTTTTAGTTTCACAAAGAAAAAAAAAACATAAAGAAAATAAATACTTTAACATGTCTTGTACTTTTGGTTTATGTATCTATTTTGTGTATCTTCTGATACTAAATTGTGAAAAAACAAAAAAGTTGAAGTGTTCATGGATCTTTTCCTAGCAGACAGGCATGAACCAAAAATGAAATGTCTATAAAGAAATAGAAATGACTGACCACTCAAAAAGCAGAGTTTTGTTTAAATCAGTTGCCAGAACTTAGCAGGCATCTCAAGCATCCAAACAGAAGAAAGCACCTAATATTGTTGAGTAATTACATAAACTCATTAGTTTTGGGATCTCATCTGTTAGAGAGCAGTTTCTTCCTGTACCATTTAGGTTTAAATATCCATCTCTACTAATAAAATGCATTCTTGACAATAATTGCACAGCTAAATAATCATGTATGAACCACATCTTCAACCTGAAAAAACACACAATTCAACTTATACAATCACTGGTGACCCCACCCCAAAGGTTCATCAAATCAGTATCCCATATAAGCAGACGCTTTTCACTGTCGTCTTCAACAATTGTCCAAAAATATTAAAATGAATTAAAAAGATCATGGCACAGAGAAGCTGACATATGACATTTTGGGTATTAAACTATACCGTAAAATATTCATGATTTATTAGGTAGTAGTGTGAGTTTTTCTAATTGTGCATTCTTACAGTGGAGCCACAACTGTGTGCTTTATTAAATCAGATTGACCTTTGACCACAAAAAACATTTAGATTATTATTTTTTTGTTTAACTTGGCATTTGAGACACATTTAAATAAACTTTGAGCTAAAAAAATAAAAAAGGCTTGTACATTTGGGTCGACTTCCAAACTTCAAAAACTACAGTGAGCATACGCGCGTGTGTGTGTGTGTGTGTGTGTGTGTGTGTGTGTGTGTGTGTGTGTGTTTGGAAATCAAGCTTAAATATATCAGATTCAGAAAACTGGTTCTCGTCACACCATTCTTCAGAAATCTGCGTGATTAAAACTATTGGCAGCATTTAAACTTATTTCTGTCTGTTAACTATCATGTTGTCACTTCTTTCTCCTTTAAGGGATTTCTTTCTTTCTTTCCGTGTTAATACCTATCCCGCAGGGAACATTTCCAGCTTTTACAACGACATTAAGCCTCTCTAAAAGTCAGGAAGAACTCTGCTAATGCAATCTAACCACAGACAACCTCAGCCAATGCTCTGGCTCTTGAGTGATAATTCACTCTAACCACATGCTGGCTTAACCATGCCCTGAGGCATTCTGCTAGGAGACATTGTGAACAGAAACACTTTTAGACATTGTCTATACAACCGCATCGAGACTGACGTGACTGAGAATTGCTCCTTCATGAACTGTTCAAACTGGCCCTTTTAGGATGCAAAGGGACCAGTGCATTAATAAATATACTAGACACAGAAACATCTCGGGTCACAACTAATTTCAGAGCTCTGTTGTAAGGAAACGATAGAGTAGGGTTAGGGCTAACGTACCCCCCCCCCCCCCCCCCCACACCCCCATCCCTCCAAACTCGTTCTGTTGTATTGCTCTGTATTTTATACCAGACTGAATGGGTTTTACTTACTGCAACCAAATGTTGCAACAAATAAAAGTGTATGCATATCAAGGTTGGCTTTTAAATATAACAGCAATTCACCAAGCTGGGTTCTTGAAAGGGTTGGTAGAGACTAAATGGATCTCTCTTTCTCTTTTTGCCACTGCTGCTCATGTATTCCATCAATAACCACTGCGGCAGCAGAACCATCAACACTGATAGAGAGCATAGTTAATAACCCCCTAAAGGGATCGTGCTGCTTTTTACACAAATGTTTAATACATCTAAAAGGTAGGGCAAACCTTGATGGTGCAGTTTAGCTGGATTCTGGGTGAGCCAAGAATTCAAAGACCAAACTGCTGTTTGCATTTTACCTCCTGCCTTCACGCAATTACAGGCGTGCACGGCTGGATCTGAATCCTGCAGAACGTGCCATACCGCTTATTAATGTATTACGGAAGAAATAGATTTATTGTTGTAGGACTTAAATATCCATATTGTCGGCAAAAAGGTCAGTATGAGCGGTTAGGAAAACAAAATCACTTTTATAGTGAAACATAGGGATGAGTAAAGGGAGTAATGGTGCAGCTAAGGTTGGAAAAGGATATTTTTGACGTATCTAGTTTCAATAACTGATACTACCAGTAGTGCAGCGGGTAGCCAATCCTGAAACAGAATAAACATTTTTAACCCGTTTAAACTAGAACTCCAAAGGCAGTGATTTTGACTGTTTTCACATCTTGATATGTAATACCTGTAGTGGTGGTTCCTTTGTTTGTCAACTCACTTCATATTTTCCAACTTTAAAAGCCACTGCTGCACTTTGGTAACGTTTCGTACCCAGGCAGAAGAAGTTCAATGTCCAAACTTGAAAGCTGCATTTTCTTCAAGGTTTATTTTCCAGGTTGGCAACAATAAAACACAGATCCTGTTTTCCATTGTTTCCTGCTGCTTCTCCTGCTCTGGTAAAAAACCATACGCCCACCCCAGTGCATGCTGGTCCTATACCAGTGCCTACCTATACAAAATGACCCGGTGATTTCTCCTGACCGACTTACAAAGGTAAACAACAAAACGAACTACAAAAATAAACAAATATTAATCTACAAATAAACTTTATAAATGCTTCAAAAAATATAAAGTGAACTTATCACAAATTTGAAGAAAATACACAAAAATATCACAAATAAAGTATAAATAGCTCCAACAATACATTTATTTAGATGGATCTCATGTTTTCCTGGCTTCCTGACTTTTCCTATTCATGTGTGTCCTTCATGTCCATGTTATTATTTCCATAAATAATGTATCAAAATGGTTGTTTTTGTATTTGTTTCCCAAAAACCATCAGCCTGATGCCTCAGTTGTTTACATGGTATTTTTTTCCTGTAGGTGACGGACAGCGTCATCTTTGCTAAGCAACCAACTTTCTGGCTCGCATGCACACACACACACACACTCTTTGTTAATATTCCACGTAAAATAGCTGCTAAAACGTTTTTTAGAAGAACGTTCTCAGTGAATTAAGCATTAGAAATTATTTTGCTTTGGGTGAAGAAGGGAAAGCAGATGAAAACTGGTCAGTAGGAAGTGACTGAGACTCTGACAGCAACACAGAAGAGGATCTCCAAGCCCCCCGCGCAGGGAGCTGCGTGACCTTTTGTGGGAATTCTAGTTGTGTTAGAATTCTGGGAGTTCTAGAGTTAAAACCAATAATACAAAAATCTATTTCTGAGCTTCTAAGGTCACCTTTTTAAAGCCGCAATAGCAAATCTGCAAAACAAGCTAGCTTTTGGACACAAACTTGGTCACGGAACTCTCCCCCTCCCATCGGATAACCTCCCCAGGCCGTTTAGATACTACCAACAATGCCAGAGATAAAACGATAATGACAAACTCCAGTTGTCATTTTCTAGGTACAAACTTCTTTTGTTGTCTGTGACTTCAAATGGTGTTTTTACTTTTGAGACTCTGGTAGTGCGAGAGCCACGAACCTCACACCAGTGGTATTTTGTTGCAAAGTGAGCAAAAGCATAATGAGCGGAGGGCCCAGGTAAATGCAGAAGTGTGGCGGTTTGGTAAGACCGAAAACCAGATGGTCCAATAGTTGGTGAGCCGTTTTATTGGCAGGAGACAAATGCTAGAGAACCACTTAATTAATATTATTTTTTTATCTCCACAATATGTTTACAGCTGTAATATGTAAGAACAATGTAAAAAAGCATGAAAAATGTTTTAAGCTAGCTTGTTTAGCAGATTAGCCATTGTAGCTTTAACAGGATTAGTATGTTCCTAAACACTGGACAAGTACTCAAGGTGGAAAGAACCAATTTTATTATGATTTTATTATTGCTATTTTGTTATATTCACATATTATCACAAATTATTAGATCATTTTAAATCAAATATAGTTGTATTCTTTTTTTGCAAAATCTGTTGAAGGAGCACAGTACATATATATATATATATATATATATATATATATATATATATATATATATATATATATATATATATATATATATATATATATATATATATATATTTCAAGTAAACTAGGTAAGATGATATAGTCCTGCTAGTTTGTGTGGTAGAGTGACTCCTCAAATAAATTACATATTTATGCATTTTCTACCTGCGACACCTTTATCATACTGGTACGCATGTCTTACCTTATGGCGTGTGAGTGTGTGTGTGTGTGTGCATGTGTGTGAGAGAAAGAGAGAGAGAGGAAGGGTGAGCACACCTTTAGATAGTCTCCATCTTGCAGAAAGAAGCTCTCGGCTTTCAGCCTGATTCCTTTGCCCTTTTCAGTGGTGATGCGGTAGATGCACTCATGGTTGTTATCGTAGTTGGAGGGGAAATTTGGAGAGAGAAGAATACCGGCTGGTCCTCGTGCGGAAGCTCCACACTCAGCTACAGCACCAGACAGAATGAGTAAGGAACAATGAGGGTCAAAATCACTGCTATTCTTACATTTTCTTTCCTAATTATCTCTTAGTGCACATAAATCTTGCTCGCAATTGAAATAAAAAGATTATTGGAGGGTGCATATCCAGTATAACCTGAAAACTTGTTAACCTCAACAGAAAAGAACAATGATTGGAACATTGTCATAAAATTTTATGAACTAAATACCATTACTTTGAAGAAATTGCATAAAATATTCATGAAAACAAAAACAGGACATCAAAACACAATTGATCTGAAACTGCAGATGATGAGGTAAAAGGTTAAAATAATAATAATAATAATTTTAAAAAAGGACCTGATTTCTTTTTTTTTATTTTATAAAATCCCATCAAAGTCATTTTACATATTTATCTGACAGGTTCAGTGAATATCAAAGATAAAGAATAAAATACTCAATGCAAAAAGAGTTTTGTTGCATGTAAACTAGGAAACTGTAAAAAATAAAATAAAATAAATAAATAAATGAATGAGGTGAACAGGCTTTTAACTCCTGACAGAATCACCCGTGTTTGGATGAGAGGAAATGTAGAGAGTATAACAATGAGAAAGACGAGGTGGAGGACGGTGGGGCAAAAGATAAATACATTTTAAAAATAAAAGCAAAACACTGTGTGGCTAATATTTTTCACCAAATCTAAGCAAAATTAACTTATCATGTAAAGCTGCTTACACCAAATTAAAGACTGAATTAGTTTTAAAGTGAAATCTATACTACAAATTGGGAATGAAGGAACTAGCAAACCATGAGAAGGGAAGAGGAGGACTAGATAAAAATAAACTGAGAGGGGCAGACGGACCAAACAGAAAAGAGCCTTTTGAAAGGGTTTGAAAAGAAACTAGAAAAGGGAACGAGGATGTAACAAAAGGTGGAGATTTAACACTTTCCATAAAGCAGCTAATGCATTAATTATTTATCTAAAGGTGGTCCAAATCCAGAGCAACCGACGAACGTTTAGAACAAAAGGAAGGGAGAGAAAGATGAACCCTGCGCTTGCTGCCAGCTGCTGTTGCTCAGCTCCCTCTTAGTTAGGTCTGATCTCTTGACAGATAATGCCATCATTGCATTTTCAGTCTGCTCTCTCTGGGGCTTGGAAATTATCAGCAGCCACCAGCCAGACTCCCATAAATTACCAGCAGCATGCTAAGAAACACTGATAGGCATCAAATTCCAGCAAATAACAGCCTGCTAACAGAAAAGTCCTGACAAATAAAACCAACAGTCAACCAGTCCCATAACAGTAAATCACCATGGTGTTCACAGTGAAATACTGGTGAACTACAGTCAGGAAAATGCTTATGCCTCTAAGCTTATTCATGCAAATAAAAAAGAAAAAATTAAAACCTTCAAAACCTCTACTTCACCCTCTTGCATTAAGATAGAAGCATGCTGTCAGTTTTACCTAATATAATGTGAACTTTGTGTGCAAAACTCAGATTGTATATAAAAAAAATAGCTCATCATTCACCATTTTGAAGTAGTGAGTCGGTCTCAGCACTTGGCAGTCATACCTATGCATCGTGGTAGCGTGTTGCTCCACACTCGCCTGCCACCTCCCAGACAAGTGATCTTACTGTTTCCCTCAAGCCTGTAGCCTTGGAAACAAGAGAAGGCCAACGAGTCCCCAACTCCAAATCTGAACCCCATCCTCCTGCTGAATGCCGGAACACCAGGATCTTCACATGACTCCAAGTCGTACTCTAAACATCCAAGAAAGAAATTATATTGCATAAAAGTAAAGAAGAAGAGAAAGGCTAATCAATTTTTTCAGTTATCAATAATGTGATGTTGTTTGGTATAAAATAAGGAGATACTGTCCCCTGCAGGTACCAGATTGTGTTATTTGCAGATAAATTACCATTTAAAGATATTGGCCAGAGGCAAAATTCCTTTGAATGGCACGTGTAAAGAAGTATTAAAACCTCTGATGAAAAAAGGTTTTTGGATTTTCACGGCTGGAATTTAAAGAAAATCTGATGTTTGTGACCGGCGCGGGACAAACAGAAACTAACTTCCGGTCTAAGCCCTGGGCAGCTGGTGACGTTTCACAAGGCGCTCTGCTGAAACAGCGATAGTAAACAACGCCTGACTCCGGTGTTTCTGCGTTAGCATTATAGCAGAGAACAATGTGTCATCAGTCAGATGTAGCTTCTGAAGCCTCTGCTAGTCAGTCAGATTTTTTTTTTCTCTCTCTGGGATACGGCAACGACAACGGGTATTGGATTACTTGAGATGTTCAACTGAACTCCATGCCCTGCAGCTTGATATCAGAACCGGAGATGCAGACATGCTTTGGACCGTTTCACTCAGAAAACCCTCAACCCAATTAGGACACCGGGGAGGATTCTGTTCATCTTCGGAACCAAAATTGGTATAGTTTGTTCAAGTTTGTTAATTATTTCATGTCTGTGCTCCACCGGTAGCTTTCAGTTAAGTTCTCAGCTGCTCCATCATATTGTCCCAATATAATTCAGTAATCTACAGATGAGTAAAATAACATGTTGCCTGCTTTACCGCTGTGTGTATTTATTGATATAACATCAGAAAATATTTTACCGTTTGCTTGTCAGAATAAATCTTCCTGATGCTAACTCGCTAGCTAGGATCGTTGTTTTCTATTCCAGGATGGCACGGAGGTTCTGTGGGGATCATCTTTTAGATTATATCTGTATGTGTGTGTGTGTGTGTGTGTGTGTGTATCATAGCTTTCACAAATGACTAGATACCGGAGTTAACACGGTTAGTGCTGCGGCAGTCATGCTGACGGGACTCTCCTGCTGGAGTACAGAAGTACCTGTTCGGTTCTAAATGGATTTATAGATGTAGGTTATTATTTTAGAACAAACCTGTGTTAGTTAAAAATGCGTGTAGGACATGGACATATGGCTCAGACCTTTAGCTGCAGCTGTAAACGCAATTTTCTGTTTTAATTAGGAAGATGATAGTAAACAAAATACAGTGATTTACCATGCTAGCAACAGCAGCTACCTAGTATGACGAGTGTGAGTGACGTATGCAAAACACGGTTCTTCGCTGCCTGGAGGAGAGAAATTAGATTTTCTGTGATGATTTACGACTATATTCCTTAACAAAATGAAAAACTGAACCCAGTTCATATTTATGTAGATGGTAAAATGTAGTTATACTGTATTTCTACAATTTTAATGCTGAGTCTGGCCACTACCTTTAAAAGGTGGGAAAGGTTTTTACAAATGTTTCAAAATTTGTTAAACTATGTGGTGAACTTAACGAGACACACAATTACCAAATCAAACAAGTGGTTCTGACAACGCATGCATCTTTTTCTTTGAAACACATCAATTGTATTTATTTTATTTATTTATTATTATTATTTTTTTCTGTTTTGGGAAGACAAAAGCAAGCAAAACCTTTTCACACATGGATTGGCCACCTTAAGCCCACTGAGAATCTTTGGGATGTGCTGGAGAAGGCTTTGTGCTGCAGTCAGACTCTACCATCACCACCGGGCAGCAAGTAGCTCTGGAGGTGTTCTGTTTTCGGGTCAGTAAAAAGATGGCGCCTGTGCTTGGTTTAGCTGCGGTCGGTCACTGGACACTTTTTTAACTTTTCTCTTTTAACCTCCTTTATGCCTTGCTTCTGTATTTTTTGTCAGTTGAAACATTAAAAAAAACATTATTACTTTTAGTTTATTGGATTTTTTGAAGCGCCCCATGATTTTGATCTTGAGAGGCACAATATGAAAGATAGTTTTCTTTCTTTCAGAGCAGGTTGCCCAGAAATCGAAAGGTTGCAGGTTTGATCCCAGCTCCGGACAGAGGATTTTGCTGTTGTGTCTTTGGGCAAGATACCACCTGCTGGTGGTGGTCGGAGGGACTGATGGCCCCTATGCTAGGCAGCCCCGCCTCTGTCAATGCGCCCCAAGGGCAGCTGTGGCTACATTTTAGCTCATTACCATCAGTGTGCGAATGTGTGTGTTAATGGATGAATGATACAATATAGTGTAAAGCACTTTGGAGTTCTCTGACTGAAAGGCGCTATACAAGTGCAGGTCATGTATCATCATTAATGCAAGATCTTGGTAAAAATGAATGCAACACTGGATGGAAATACATCTTTTGACATTGCAGAAGCTTATTCAAACAATACCAGAGTGAATGCATGCTGTAATAAAAGCTAAAGGTGGTCTAGCAAAATCCTTGAGTGTGTGACTTTTTCTGTTGGCAACTTTATTTTTTTGGCTGGGCATTGTATCTCTTTATGATAAATGGGAAATGTGTGCAGCCTCCTACTGTTGTAGAAGTCCATTGTTCATACCTGAGAATGTAATGTTAAAGCCTTCGTAACTCATGGAAAAATCGGATATAAATCGTAGCTGCACGCTGAAGTTTCCGTAGAGACCCGCTTTAACACCAGGGGGAAGCACTGAGCCAGTAAGGTGAGCCACTGGAACCAGGAAGTTGCCATCTTCGGTAATGGTCAAGTAGTCATGGTTCTCCTCCAGATGGAAAGTGTGGAAGACCAGATGGACACCTGAATGAAAAGATGGCATGATGGGTTGATGGGTTTGATAAGAAATGGATGATAACCCAGATGAATGAATGAAAGAATTGAAATTTAGAGACTAAGACAACAATAAACAGATGCTAAGGGGAGAAAATGCAGTTTATGCACAGAAAAGATCAATTAAACATTACTTTTCATCATTTCTGGTGCTCAGCTATCAGCAACATATTCAGTAGCACATTTTGGTATGAGCACTTGTACAGAACACGATGTTCCAAACTTGAGTTATCTTATTTATGTCTCTGTAATAATCTTCATACCTTTCCCATGAGACACCTCTATAGTCCAAGTGCAGTTCAGGGAGTTTGGGTAGAAATCAGGAAAACCAGGTGAGAGAATTGTCCCAGTTTTACCAAAAACATAGCCTCCACAAAGAGCTGAAGAAGGGGAAAAAGTGACAAAGAAGATTGGAGCAGACTGAGAGAAGGTTCTATTTTAACAACCAATGCACCTTTTTGCCCTGAAGTAGAAAGATAAAGCCCCTAAATTCTGAGAAACTGCTGTGTCTCTTTAAACCATCAAAGAAAGATGTGTCTGCAGTCGGGTTACAAGGTCACCACGTAATGATGATGATTTCTTTGCTCTAATGGTCTGCTCTTTGTTAAGCGATGGAATTAAAACAGATTTCGCCTTTAGAAAAATTCAGCAAAAATAAGATTTACTGAACCCTTTCAAATGAGCTTCGTCGTGACACATCCTCCATGAAGAAAGCACGTTCATCCAGAAATGTAAAAAAAAAAAAAAAAAAAAAGAGAAATTTACAAGTTAGAAAATAATGTAATGTAAAACATGAATCATGTGTTTATATAATGTATTGTGCGCTAATGGCGTATTATATTCATGGCTGTAAAATCTGTCATTATACAAATTGACATCTCAATTGCTTGTAAATATACCTCTTAAATAACAATGATGGAAATAACCTTAATACATAATCTAACCCTTTTGTTTGCTTAACCAAACGGGCAAATATGTAAATATAAAGCTCTTATCATATAATAATGTGTACATGAATGCCAGCTATTTGTGTAAAGAATGCCATTTTCAGAGCTGAATGATTAAGGCTGATTTCATCAAATGTTCTTGTTTTAGAAACTAATAAATAAAAATTTCCAGGAATACTGCAGGATAATTGAATTTTTCCACAAAGCAATAGGAACATATCAAATTAGTAGATATAAGTTGTATAGTGCTATGAAAAATGGTTTATTACCTTAAACATTTAAAAAAATTTGTCAGTTTAAGGCAAACATAACCCGAGTAGCAATGTTTGAATATAACAAAGAACAAGTACATTGTTACTCTATTAAAAGATCAAGTTCACAGTTTATATTTAACACATTAGCAGCGCTCTCTAACATAAAATAATGCCTTGTGAGTCAAGTTGAAGAGTTAAATATTAGCCAGAACAGTGGAGAGAAGAACACAAAAGCTTTTGGACTATTTATTTCCCGATATTCAAACATCTCACCTCTGATTGGCTAACAGCAACATAACTCTACCATTGACTCCGTTAGCCATTACTGACTCCGTACGCGTGTATGTGTTAAGCCCCGGAACTTCTTCAGTCCTAAATCTGCCCCTGGTAAGAACTACACTCATTTAATGTTTCAACACATCAGGCCAGGTTGGTCTGGATAGTTCTGTATCACCAGGGATTGTCTTTGGCTGATATTTAAAATTGTTATGGATCTGAAAGAGAAAATACTTTTTCACAGCACTATAAATCAAGAATTGATTAACTAAGGAGTAACGATAACAACCTAAAGTGCTTCTGGTAAAGTATTGCTTTTACAGGAGTGCAGAATTATTAGGCAAGTTGTATTTTTGAGGAATAATTTTATTATTGAACAACAACCATGTTCTCAATGAACCCAATAAACTCATTAACATCAAAGCTGAATGTTTTTGGAAGTAGTGTTTAGTTTGTTTTTGGTTTTAGCTATTTTAGGGGGATATCTGTGTGTGCAGGTGACTATTACTGTGCATAATTATTAGGCAACTTAACAAAAAACAAATATATACCAATTTCAATTATTTATTTTTACCAGTGAAACCAATATAACATCTCCACATTCCCAAATATACATTTATGACATTCAAAAACAATACAAAAACAAATCAGCAACCAATATAGCCACCTTTCTTTGCAAGGACACTCAAAAGCCTGCCATCCATGGATTCTGTCAGTGTTTTGATCTGTTCACCATCAACACTGCATGCAGCAGCAACCACAGCCTCTCAGACACTGTTCAGAAAGGTGTACTGTTTTCCCTCCTTGTAAATCTCACATTTGATGATGGACCACAAGTTCTCAATGGGTGAACAAGGAGACCATGTCATTAGTTTTTCTTCTTTTATACCCTTTCTTGCCAGCCACGTTGTGGAGTACTTGGACACGTGTGATGGAGCATTGTCCTGCATGAAAATCATGTTTTTCTTGAAGGATGCAAACTTCTTCCTGTACCACTGCTTGAAGAAGGTGTCTTCCAGAAACTGGCTGTAGGACTGGGAGTTGAGCTTGACTCCATCCTCAACCCGAAAAGGCCCCACAAGCTCATCTTTGATGATACCAGCCCAAACCAGTACTCCACCTCCACCTTGCTGGCGTCTGAGTCGGACTGGAGCTCTCTGCCCTTTACCAATCCAGCCACGGGCCCATCCTTCTGGCCCATCAAGACTCACTCTCATTTTATCAGTCCATAAAACCTTAGAAAAATCAGTCTTGAGATATTTCTTGGCCCAGTCTTGACGTTTCAGCTTGTGTGTCTTGTTCAGTGGTGGTCGTCTTTCAGCCTTTCTTACCTTGGCCATGTCTCTTGAGTATTGCACACCTTGTGCTTTTGGGCACTCCAGTGATGTTGCAGCTCTGAAATATGGCCAAACTGGTGGCAAGTGGCATCTTGGCAGCTGCACGCTTGACTTTTCTCAGTTCATGGGCAGTTATTTTGCACCTTGGTTTGTCCACACACTTCTTGCGACCCTGTTGACTATTTTGAATGAAACGCTGGATTGTTCGATGATCACGCGTCAGAAGCTTTGCAATTTTAAGACTGCTGCATCCCTCTGCAAGATATCTCACTATTTTTGACTTTTCTGAGCCTGTCAAGTCCTTCTTTTGACCCATCTTGCCAAAGGAAAGGAAGTTGCCTAATATTTATGCACACCTGATATAGGGTGTTGATGTCATTAGACCACACCCCTTCTCATTACAGAGATGCACATCACCTAATATGTTTAATTAGTAGTAGGCTTTCGAGCCTATACAGCTTGGAGTAAGACAACATGCATGAAGAGGATGATGTGGACAAAATACTCATTTGCCTAATAATTCTGCACTCCCCGTAGATCTGGTTCAACGATTGCTATTGATCACCTAAACAGTTAATCGGGTTCAAGCGGCAGCAACAAGAAACAAGCAGCTATGTTTTTGGCAGATTTCTGATTAGAAACACTCCTGCTCGGCTGAAAGCTCTGCTAACTCTGCTGTTCTGCTCCTGGTGAATGGCTCTGGTCATTAATGAAATGAGCTGGTTTGTAGATCAGCAACGTTTAGGAATTTCACAGCAGAACTCTTCGCTCCCACAAGGGCTCTTTATGATTTCCCTTTGCTGTTGCAACAACACAAATTTCCCTACTGAGGGAAATAGAGGATTGTGCTATTCTAGTAGGTCTGCCCCCTAGAGGCTGACACTACTGTCAAAATGAATGAAAATAAATTCCAGAATAATGTAACAGTTATTCTAATAAATCTTTCTGAGCACTACTACAGCATGTTAACTCCTATTTTAGGTCTGCTGGTGTCATCATTTATGTGAGTGCTATTCAATTAAATTCAGTTGAAGATGTATATATCTACCATGGTGCACATGAATCCCTTCTAATCCCTGAAACAGCACAGTTACAATTTATCTTTTGAAAGCTTTATAAAATACAGCTATTTTATCCCTTTCAAGACAAATGCAGCAACCTTATGGATGGTGTTTATCCTTTATAATTTATGTAAATCACTGCAGCAACTTTCCTTTCTTTTTTAGAAATAAAGTCATGCACTTGATAGTTAACAGTCTTAATCTGTATCTTTCTCTCTCTATAATTCCTATTGTATTTACACCAGTTCATATTTTAATAGATGTGTGCAGCCATGAGACCTGGTCACTGTCTCTCTACTAGTGTCCTTGTGTCATTAGAGCAGGAAAAAAACAAAAGAACAGAGATATTGTTGGACAATCTGTGAGGAAAATCTTACTGTTAATAAATGACGAGGAGAAACTGAGTTGAACTGAAGCAGAATAAAAGGCTGAAGGGAACTTCGGAGGCAGAAGCTTACTACATTCTGATAAAAAGCTGACACCTAAAGATACCTTTAGCATTTCAGAAAAAAGAGAAGTAGATATGTCAAGATGCTGTTTATCGGTTCCAAGGCTACATTGCCCTTTCTCAAAATGTCCCTGTTTCTTTAATGAACTTCATCTTGTAAAGGGCTTTGATATTTTTTATTGAAACTAAAATGATGACTTCGGTCACTTTTAACAAGTTGTTGTGTTGGCAACCAACTGGAAGCTTATAAAATGTCATGGCATTCTTTCAGCAACTCCCTGACACAAATAAAAAAGTGCAGCCACTGTTCTGTGTGACCTGTTTGGCCATTTAAATGACCTTTAGCGATAAAACAAGAAGTTTGGATTCAATAGATTGCTCAACATCATGCAACATAGATCAGTTGTTAGGGGTGTGCACTTTAGCTTAAAGGTGTGGGATAATTGTTTAATCAATACATTTGCAGTGGTCCCTAATAGGAGCTCAGATGTGCTTGTTTCAGAAACTAGCAGAATTCCACATTAGAGTAGAGCTGAACAAGGCAGGATTTAGAGTTTTATTTCTTCATATTTTACATCTTGCCTTGGATTGAGTAACATCAACACAACTCTACCACTGACTCCATTTGCTCTGCAATGTTGATGTATCTCCACAAATAACACAAGCCTGAAGGAGTTCTGCTTTGTGGTGGACTTGCTAATGCTAATGGTTAGTTTCTGCAAGCTGAGACGTTCTTTGCTGTTTCCTGGATGCTAAACCAAGAACAGCCTTCTCCGTCATGAGTCAAGATGGGTGAGTCCATGAATGTTAAGTGACAGTGTGACGTAGATCTGTCAGGCTATTCTAATCCTAGACTTACACCGTCTATTTTCCATCACAGATTAATTAGGGTAGAAAACAATTTTCATGTTCAGCCTGCATGAAAAACTCAGTCACGATTATAATCAGAGATAATCATAAAAATATTGTTTTAGTGTTCCACACCTTTAAAGAAAAACTCTCTCTCTCTCTCTCTCTCTCTCTCTCTCTCTCTCTCTCTCTCTCTCTCTCTCTCTGTGTACATATATATGTATATATATAATTTTATTTTATGTTTTTGGCAGAAACTTGTTTGACATGTTAGCATTTGCTGATCTTAACTTAAATGTACCTACAGTCTGTAAACTGCTATAGAATCTCTTCTGAAGTCTTCAGAGCAGAAACAGCAAATCTGATAACATTCTGTGAAGTTTCCTTTTTTGGTTTTCTTTCCAATTTAGAACAAACAGATCAGGTCAAGTTAACCTTTTCCCCTCTTTAAACAAAAAGCATCTAATTAAAAAGCTCATTAAAACTGTTGTCAGACGTTACTTGACGCAGACTGTAGACCTAAACCTATTATCTTCCTCAAAAGAAAAACAATATGACATTTTGCAGATCAAGTTGAAGCTCACACACTATTTTAGAAATGTGCCGTTTGAAATGTTTCCACAGAGTCATGTGAAATTCATCTGGTGATATGGAACGCTCGGCTAACGTTTAGAAATGTCACAGAGTTTTTGTTTGAGAACTTCTTATGTGAAATGCACAGAATGCCTCTCTTTCTTTATTGTGGAGACACTTTAGTTTATAACTTTAATTTTCTTCCTAACAGGTTAATTAAATCAGATACAGCATATTAATATTTTAATCATCTATACGTTGTGGGGAAACTCTTGATGGAAAGGCCTGCAAGTGGCCACCAAACATCTATTTCTGAAGTGCTTTTGGAGTTTTTTGTAATTTCACTGAGACTGAATGTCCAGCTTGAGGTATTGTGGCTGCCTGCCCCTGGGGGATTTGGACTGATTGCACAATCAACACTACAGCTGCTGGGTACCAATAGTGGAAAATATAAATGGACATGAAGCAGACCTGGAAAGAAGGTTTGGGATGTTCATCAACTCACACTGATGCCATCTAAATGTTCCTTTACATGCATACATGTACGTTTTTCAGCTTCTTTCTACTTCTTCCTCCTGATGAGAAGAGTTGAAGAACATCATGCAATTTCACTGCAGTTAACTAAAAGCAGTAGAAAGCCAAACTGGAGTGACTGTTTCCCATGACACCATATGCTCCACACTGCAGATGAATGGCATGCTTGGGTATAGTCCAGGAAGGAAGCCTCTCCTAATGTCCATTGTCTAGGATTTGCTAGGGCCCATGCTGAAAGAAATTAAGAATACTGGGACACTGATCTCTGCAGAGTGATGAGACAAATATCACTGTTTTTGGAACTAATGGTTTCACAACTGTATGGTGTCGTAAAGGTGAGGAATTCAAAGGTAAATGCATGGTGCCTACAGTAAAACACAGTGGTGGCAGTGTCCTCATGTGGGGCTGCATGAATGCGGCTGGTGTTGGGGAGCTGTATTTCATTGATGGTTTGAACTCAACAATGTACTGCTCTATAATGACGGAGACGATGCTGCCATCACCCTGTGCACTTAGTCGTTGTGCACTGTTCCAACACAACAATGATCCAAAGCACATACAGGTTATTAAATAAAATGTCCACGTCACTGACTTTGTACACGTTGTCAATAGAAAATCAGCAGTTTGTGGTTTCCACAACTTTATCTTTAACAACATTTTTAGAAGTTTACAGGAGAAGCAAATTGGACAATTGCAAAATATGTTGGTGAGACGATATCGTTTTAACCTGTGCCTGTGTGTGTGTGTGTGTCTTCCAGTTTTTGATATTATATGGTGTAATATTACACATTTCAACAGCGCTCCCACGTGGTGGTTAGTATTTTGAAAAATAGGGATGTCCCGACTAGGTCAACAAACTAGAAAAAACTGTTAGATTTCTGAATTCGGGAATTCTTTTTAATTCAACTTGATATTTGGGACCCTGTGGTCCAGAAAAAGAAAAAAAAGTTGGCTAAACCATTTTATATTATGTCTAATTTAAAATGTCGTCCTCCTGCATCCCCCCATCTCCTGAAAAACAAGTGTGTGTGTGTGTGTGTGTGTGTGTGTGTGTGTGTGTGTGTGTGTGTGTGTGTGTGTGTGTGTGTGTGTGCCAGAAAACTTTAAACTCCAGAGTTTTGGCTAGCAGCTATGAGCGTAACTGAACTGCGCATGGACACACACAGGTGTTTTCACAGGTGTTGCTACTACCTATGATCCTTCAAGGGATGTGCTCAACGTTGAGTTCATCATTATGAATACAATATAGTGTTTTATTTTACAAATACCATTATAAACACACTTACATCTTAAGAAACATTATTTTAATAACGAAAGTGCTAAATTCTTTCCAACAGTATAGATGTGTAGTGTATTTTGTCCGAGTGGGTTTGCCGTACTTTGACGTCATCGGCAGTCGAAGGACCCCGAGCCGATTTTGCACCCGAGCAGATCCTGTACCGACACCGGCTATTAAAAGTGTTCTATGTCTGCCACCTGTCGACTCTTCTTTGCTGCTTCACACACACCCCGCTAGAAGGCGGCGCAGACCGCTACAATATTTCAGCCTCATCCACAGGGCAGCTGTGGTTAAACTGACTGTAGAACCCTAAGAAGGTGTTATACAAATGCTGGCCATTTACAATGTTCTGCATGGGATTTATATTTAAACTGATATAAACGACAGACTTTAATGACATTTTCTAAAAATACCTTGATTTATTTTTGCAAATGATCAACTTTAGAGTCAACCAGGTACAACATTGCTGCCACAGCTAATTACTATATGCTTAAAACTTCAGCTAGAAGAACTTGAGCTGAATATTTTTTGTGACAATAGGTGAAAGTCAGTTCATGCATTCTTGTGCCATATTTCATGAGATTCAGTGTGTACCATTTTTCATCCATCACTCTATCATTTCTCAACAAATGAGCTTAGTTCAAAATTCTGGCATGTAAGGCAGCAGGCAATATGCAATCCTTCAAGGAATGCACGGCCTTTAATTGAAAATGGATTCAGAGAGTACAATGTGACTTTAGGGAAGCTTATTCAGAGCAGAATGTGACCATGATGTTGCTGCAGTATTCATCACTTCTCACCAGCATGACTATAAATAAATATCACTACAAGCAAAATAGTTGGAACAGGTTAATGGGATATTTAGTCGCATCTGATCCGAATACTTTTCCTCAAAGAAATTAAATTAAGTAATTAAAGAGTGTTTTAGTATTTTTTACAGGATTTTATAAAATTTGATATGGAGATCTGGTTTTAAACATGATAAAAATATTATAATAAATTTGTATATGATCTAAATAGCTATGAGCTTCCTAAGGGTAAACTAAAGAATGGCATTGTGCAAACTGCTGACCCAAAAGCTTCCAGAAATGCAAAGATGAAAGGTCACCAGTGCTTTTCTCATGGTCCTGTCATTAAACTGACACCTGTTCAGAATTTGCTGACTAGCAACATTAAACAGATAATTTATGCATGGAAATGAACACACAATCAATCAAGTCTATCCAATTTCTAAGGCTGTATAAATAATTTAAGGTAACTGCCATAACAGTAGGCAATATTAGTATCACAAATAATATCAATGTATCAGATAATTGACAAATATGCTTCATTTACTGTGGATTTTTTACACTTCCTGTCAATAATGAGTGTGGCCAATTAGCTTCAAATTGCCTGAAATGCTTAAGGAAACAAAGTTTCTAATATATTTTTCTTAAAATGTGCAGCTTTGATAGATTCTACATTTCATGGTGCCAAGCTCCCTTAAGCTAGACATTAAATACATATTAGGAATATACTGGTTAAAAGAAAAAAATCGCAATAAATATATAAACTTTTAAATTTTAGATATTGACAGGCACAATTTTCTTGAATAAATATTTTACCTAGATGGCTTTGGCTGCTAAAATAAATTAAATGCTTCCTTTTTTAACTCATGTATAAATAATCCGCTGTTCAGAATTTTCTAAAATAAGCCACAATGACCTGCAGGGACAGCGCTTACACTTTCTGTTTTACGTTTCCTAAAAAAGTAAAGAATCAGAACATTTACTGAATATTTTATGAATGCAGATATTCAAAAAGAAAAAGAAAGAATCTAACCATCACAACTAGGAAGTGCATGACTCCACTGATGATTCTGATCACACACAATCGGCTCCTGGTCACTAAGTGTGTATCCAGCATCACACGTAAACGAGGCTTGAGAACCAATGGCAAAGCTGCCGCCATGGCGACGACCGTTCACTGGGATACCAGGATCGAGACATGCATCTGACTCCATTTTCACACCTGAAAATCACATTGCACACAGTCAAGGAGGTCAGGATATAAATGTCTGTAGAAAACCACTTCAATCATTCGGTAGATCAGTCTTACTTTCATATCTGATGCTGAAGCCTGTGGAGGAGCGGCTGTTGTCTGTGGTAAACAACAGGAACAGGAAGTTGGATGTGGAAATCAGGAAATGAGGTGCTTGGGTGCCATGGTACTCTCCGATTAGAGGGGAGGAGGCTGAGGGGCCATCCCTGATCTCCAAAGTGTCGTAATTTACTTCTGTCTGAAACCTGGATGCACAGAATAAAAACGGGGAAAAAAAGGAAAAAAAAAACAACTGTGAATAACAAAAAAAATTTACAAAATGATGACAAGTTGACTATAAATAAACTGTACCAATTAAAACCACAGAAAAGATTAATGAAATTTCCAAAAAAAAAAACGTACATACTTATAATTTTATTTCCTGTTGCAAATGAATAATTACCTACATCAAGAAATCAAAGATTTTAAGGACCAATCATAATTCCAATGTACATAACAGATTAGAATTTTTGTTTAAATTTTTTTTACAATATCAGGACTCAGAAACCACTGAACCAACAACAATATCTGTGTAGCAAAGTGAAAAACGAATTAGCCTTTGCATCAGACATGTGCACGCATTGCAGCTCCTTCACAAACGAAAAGGCTAATTTTTTACATCAGGCCTCAAAAGGACAATTTTCAGCTACAGCACTTGCAGGCACTTTTTCTGTGGCTTGTTTCCAGAAAAAAATTATATGTAAAAAGCAAACATTAATCATGCTCTGCAGCACCTCACCAACTTCATTTATTTATCTCTTATATTACCACTGTAGACTACCTACCTTAAAGATTAAACAACTTAGTTTAAGGATCTCTTGAGCACATCAAATAGCAGGTGCACTTTATTTTAGACAAATTAAAAAAAAATGGGTACCCCATTTCTCCACGTGTAAAAATGACACTACTTACTTGTCAAAGTGTATTTTTACTGCATGATCTGGTTGTGCCTCAATCACCCACTGACAGTTGAGAGAATCCTTATAAAAGGAGGGCCAACCAGGAGACAGAACAACACCGGTAGAAGCTGTGAGATGGCCTCCGCAGGGAGCTGCAAGGAGACGAAGACGAGCATGCAAACAACCACAACGGGTAATTAAATTAATAATTTTTGTCTTGCAACAGCGTTACGGCATGAGCACAAAGTTTGCATTTCATCAACTTTACAGAATGATCATCTGCTCAGTTCATTTTTGCACGCTAATCCTCTCTGAATTTCTTCAAACAAACACATGAAAAAGAAAAAACCATCAGAAATGACAACAAGCCAATTTTGAGTTACGTCAACAAAACGCGAGCCTCTCCTGTTTGAAAATGCTTTTCATAACTATATTATGGTAATTTATAGGGAAGAATATAGAATATTGATGTGCCAGGTGATGCCAAAAACACACCAAGAGTTTCTATGCAACTCATAAAACTGCTAGCGGTAAACGTGACACTCACTGACTCTGATTTATAGTTCAGAACACCTCAATTATGACTCATTAAAATGAAAGAAATTGTTCTTTTTTTAAGTTTGGCTTCACTTCTCTTCCTTTGAAAGTTTTTCTTGCATTTATGTTACGTTAATTAATGTATTCTGAAAAAAAAGACCTGAGGTTTTTGACACAACTATATTAAAAAATATACACTGCTCTGTAATACATTTGCAGAGAAATTCCTTCTAACTTCTCATCTCTCATCATTCTTGCAGATTTTGATGCTCTTGTACATCCAGAGCAACTTTTCCACACTCTGACTTCTCAAGCAGCAGATCATTTGGACAAGAGCCACGATAAGATGATTCTATAAATAAAACCTAATTATCTTTCCCCATCCAATAGGAAGGATAATTCTTTCCTCATATTCCATACTTAATACGGTGACAAACTTCTTCAATTTGAATGTCTCCACCATCCAATTTATCAATGGCAGGCAGCATTTGATAATGGCATTTAGGCGATCTGATAGTGATGTAAGCAGAGAGAGAATATAAAGACGTCTCACAGGGCAGAGGATGTCAGTTGTTTAAAAAAAAAACTATTCAAACAACAACGCTCCCAGAGTCTTTTTATTATTAGGCTTGTGTGCAGGCAGTGAATAAATAGCTGTACTAAAGAATCCCAGTATAATGAATGTGCTTTTGCAGAACTTGTGACAGTCTTATTTAAGATTACTGCAGAGGGGAAAAAGATGTCCAGAAACATTTAAAATGTTTCCGTTTAGGCAGAATTTATTCAATTTTCTATAAATGCCTGTCAGATGTAGAGTAAGAGCTAAAATTTGGGAAATAAAACATTTGGAATAATTGTCAAATGTTAAGAATAAAGAGCTGGAGTGTGTCTGTTTAAGTTTACCTTCACAGCGAGGCACAGCTGCAGACCAGACAACGTTTCCATCCTGAATGATACATGTGATTTGATCCGACCCCTGGAAATATAACGATGGGATATAAAGCTGTGCAACAATAGGGGTTAAGCTATGTAAATTATAAGAAATATCCATCCATCCATCCATTTTCATCCGCTTATCCGGAGTCGGGTCGCGGGGGCAGTAGCCTAAGGCGAGAGGCCCAGACTTCCCTCTCCCCAGCCACTTGGGCAAGCTCCTCCGGGGGAAACCCAAGGCGTTCCCTGGCCAGATGAGAGACATAGTCCCTCCACCGTGTCCTGGGTCTACCTTTAGGTCTCCTCCCGGTTGGAAGTGCCCGGAAAACCTCAACTGGGAGGCGTCCAGGAGGCATCCTGACCAGATGCCCGAGCCACCTCAACTGGCTCCTCTCGATGTGGAGAAGCAGCGGGTCTACTCCGAGCTCCTCCTGAATGACCGAGCTTCTCACCTTATCTCTAAGGGAGAGCCCAGCCACTCTTCAGAGAAAACTCATTTCAGCCGCTTGTATCCTCAATCTCGTTCTTTCCGTCACTACCCAAAGCTCACGACCATAGGTGAGGGTAGGAACGTAGATCGTCCGGTAAATCGAGAGCTTCACCTTCTGACTCAGCTCTCTCTTCACCACGACAGACCGGTACAACGCCCGCATCACTGCAGACGCCGCACCAATCCGCCTATCGATCTCACGCTCCATTTTTTCCCTCACTTGTGAACAAGACCCCGAGATACTTAAACTTCTCCACTATAAGAAATAATGGTAAAATAAAAATGTTGGTGCTTTTTTGTTAAAGGTGTGGATTTCTCATTTAATCAATATATTCGCTGTGGTCTGTAGTAGGAATGAATACCTTGCAGGCAGAACTCAGGGCACAAAAAAGCCCTCAAACCCCTGGCCCAACAAGACCAGTCTCCGTCTCTCATTTAACACCCCCCCAGCAGTTTGGCTAGACCAACAACCAAATGGTCCAATAGTTGCTTTTGGTCTAAAATGTAATATATGTGGAAGTTTTTAGACAAATTTGAGAGAACCACTTAATGATTTTTTTATGTTTTACTTTTATGTCCACAATATATTCGTAGCTATAGTATGTTTGAATATTGTTAAGAGGCATGCAACACTGTTTCAAGATAATGTGTTTTCCAAAGTTGCTATAACAGCATTAATAATGGTCTTTCTACTCTTCTGAAACAAATTTCTCCTAAACTTTCATTCATTGCTTTTTGTTGATTTGTTGTTCTGCTAAACCTCATTTCAAAACCAATGTCTGATTTAAGTCCATTTCCAGATTTTTTCTTTTATTACATTTTTTAATAACTTGTATTTTCTGGGATCACTGTGTCATTTTTCTATTTCAAAATGACAAGGACCAGCATTTTTATCTGACTGTAACTGACAGCATTGTTTAAAGTTTATAAAAAAAATTACATTAGTTTAATTTCATTTGGGTTGAGATAGTCATAAATGGAGTCATCACCTGAGTCCTGATGAATCCTTGGTCACAGCGAAAAGCCACTGAGCTTCCAAGCTGAAACTGGTCGCCATACCTTTGTCCATTGACTGGAACCCCTGGGTCGTGACATTCATTCTGACCAAATGCTAAAGGAAAAAAAAATAAAGGAGAGAAAATTAAAATAGGAGCCACTAAACGGAATACAAATGAGCTGAGAGGTAATGCGATATTTGTTACTGACAGCTTAAAATACAGAACGTCTATAATCCAATCAAACCTTCCCTTGCTTTAAATGAATATCAATATCTGGGTATTTTGGCTCAACCTAAAGTAAAAAGTATTGAAATCATTGCTGGATCACTGTCAGTGCATGCGACATCTCTACTGATGTGGAAACATGAGAATGAAATTATCTTTATGTGGATTCAACCCTATCATGTTTGGCTTATATTATCCTCATTCCAGAGATTAACCTGATCCCACCCTGAGCACATACCCAGTGATTTGACATGTCTCAGGTTGATTAGCTACTGATGGAGAGGAAATGAGAGGAGTGAGCAAGAGCGAGAAAATACAAGGATGGAGATAAAAGGAAAAAAATCACAGAGAGACAGAGGAAGTGATGAGCATGCAGATGGAGAAAAACAAACACTTGTGCTGATGCATGTAAACACACACACACACACACACACACACACACACACACACACACACACACACACACACACACACACTGTAAGGAAATGTCTGAAAACATGCATTCGATGGGTTCAACTTCAGAAGTGAAAACAAAACAAGGAAGTAAACATTGATCTCACTCTACCACAAGTACCTGAAAATGTTAGAGGATTTTAGGAAAAAAATCAAAAGAAGACTGTGGTTGACTGTAAAAAATCAAGAAAGCTGAACCAGAATAGAAAAGGAAAATCATTTAAAAAATTAAAAGGAAAAAGAAAACATGATACAAAGTGGTCAAATTTATAGAAAGAGGAATAAAATCGAGGTTGGTCTGGCTGAAACGTGCTGGTTTTAATATCTTTATTATTTAAACCAAGTGAGTTTCATGCACACATTCAAAATAATAACTGTATTATATAAGCTTACTAATATCCCTTGAATTATTAAATCAAGCTATAGGGATATATAGATAGTGAAAAAAAACTGTATATAAATGTTTTTTTTTTTTTGCAAAGTACAAATACATGTGAAGACATTATTTAATATGTGGTCACAATTTGACTGACTATTAATAAACGACTTAAAATTGCAACCATAACAGAAAATAATGGGGCTCCAAATATTTTGTAAGAATATAAAAATCTAAAAAAATAAAATAAAAAAAATACTAACAAAAGTAAAACATTGGGGTTCAGTTAGAACTCCTTTTTTTTATCAAATATGCTGAGGCACAAAGAACATTCAGTACTTTCATTTGTCAAACGTCACCACTAAAGGAAGAGTCGGGGACAAGGTCATTTGGGAGGTAGTGTGTGAAATGATGTAAAGCCGCATGGTAATCACAGAAAATGAATCAAAATCAGCCATGCACAACTCGCTGGGCTTATTGCAGGTAAATACACAGGCTGCAGTGGTCAGGTCTAAACACTGACTCAACGAGACAGGCTTAACTAGGTAGAGCCTGAGGAAGACACGCAAACAGATCATGAGCTGGGCAGAGCCAATCAAAATAACGGCACGGTAGATAGATAGATAGATAGATAGATAGATAGATAGATAGATAGATAGATAGATGATAGATGATAGATAGATAGATAGATAGATAGATAGATAGATAGATAGATAGATAGATAGATAGATAGATAGATAGATATGTGTGTGTGCCTCTCGCTGGGCTGCCACCTTACCGTGGTGGAGGGGTTTGAGTGTCTCATTGATCCTAGGAGCTAAGTTGTCTGAGGCTTTCTGCCTCTGGTAGGGTCACCCATGGCAAACAGGTCCTAGGTGTGGGATCAGACAAAGAGCAGCCCGAAGACCTCTTGTGATTAATAATGTAAATGGAAACCGTGTTCCCTCGCCCGGACGTGGGACACCGGGGCCCCCCTCTGGAGCAAGGCCTGGAGGTGGGGCACGTTGGCGAGCACCAGGCTTTCACTCATGGAGCCCGGCAGGGCACAGCCCGAAGAGAAAATGTGGGTCCCCCTTCCCATGGGCTCACCACTCGACTAGATATAGTTGGACTCACCTCAACGCATGACTCTGGCTCTGGAACCAGTTTCCTTGAGAGGGGTTGGACTTTCTACCACTCTGGAATTGCTCCCATTGAGAGGCACCGTGCAGGGCTGGGCATACTAGTCCCCCCCCCCCCCCCATCTTGGTGCCTGTATGTTGGGGTTTACCCCAGTGAATGAGAGGGTAGCCTCCCTCCGCCTATGTGTGGGGGCACGGGTTCTGACTGTGGTCTGTGCTTATGCACCAAACTACAGTTCAGATTACCCACCCTTTTTGGAGACCTTGGAGGGGGTGCTGGAAAGCACTCCTTCCGGTGACTCCCTCGTTCTGCTGGGGGACTTTACCGCTCACTTGGGCAACGACGGTGAGACCTGGAGGGGTGTAGTTGAGAGGAATGCCCCCCCTGATCTGAATTTGAGTGGTGATTTGTTATTGGACTTCTGTGCCAGTCATGGATTGTCCTTAATGAACATCATGTTCAGACATAAAGGTGTCCATATGTGCTCTTGGCACCAGGATCCCTTAGGCCGCAGCTCGATGATTGACTTTGTTGTTGTTTCGTCTGACCTGCGGCCGCATGTCTTGGACACTTGGGTGAAGAGAGAGGTGGAGCTGTCAACTGACCACTACCTGGTGGTGAGTTGGCTCAGATGGTGGGGGAGGATGCCGGTCAGACCAGGCAGGCCCAAACGTATTGCGAGGGTCTGCTGGGAACGTCTGGCAGAGTCTCCTGTCAGAAGGAGCTTCAATTCCCACCTCCGAAATAACCCAAAATATTCCGGGGGAGGCGGAGGACATTGAGTCTGAATGGATCCTGTACCATGCCTCCATTGTTGAAGCGGCCGACCGGAGCTGTGGTCGCAGGATCGTTGGTGCCTGTCATGATGGCAACCCCCGAACCCACTGGTGGACACCAGCAGTTAGAGATGCTGTCAGGCTGAAGAAAGAGACCTATCAGGTCTTTTCGGCCTGTGGGACTCCAGAGGCAGCTGACGGGTACCGGCAGTCCAAGTGAAACACGGCTCGGGTGGTCGCCAAGCTAAAAACCCGGGCATCTAGAGCCAAACCGAACGTGCAGAGTGGCACACCTGGTTGTTTCATTGTTTTCATGGCACTGCTGCAGCCAATATTATCAGTGTTCCGTGTTCTAGTGTTTTTGTGAGAAACAATGTCTAAATTACCACTGATTGAAAGAGTCACAGAGACACTGTGATCAATAATTATAAGTACTTATTTGGAAATGCAAGATTCTATGATGAAACAACAGTGGTGTGACTCGTCAGCAACCGAATATTACAGATAAGAGGCAGACGGTTGGTGAGGGACAAAAATCAGTCTCTTAGTGTCAGTTAAACAAAAAAAGATGGCTGTATACTTTAGAGAAAAGGTTAATCCTTCCACATTCATCTTATATCCATGTTTAAATCAGCAACTCCATATGGACGGAGTCTACAGGGGTCTGAGAATCTGTTCTGGAAAGCCCACCAGAGGATGCAATTCCTCTGGGGCTGAGGCCTGTGATATTACACCCCTCCATCCTCACCACCTTTTATCAGGACTGCTATTGAAAGCAATCTGACCAGCTGCACACTTTGATAGAGACAGACAAGAAGACTCTGCAACATGTGATGAAAATGGCTGAGAGGGATCGGGGTTTCAATCCCCTACATGGAAAATATCATCAACGAGGCGTGCCTCCAAAAATACTTCAGTAATGCGAGATTCCTTCTAAGTTTTCATTGTGTTATTTAATTTCCTAAAATATAAGTCATTTAAATTAAAAACAAATATAATTACTAAAAATACCTGAAATGACAGCATACTTAGGCTGCCAAAAAGCAAACTCCAGAAAAGTGTTATTATAATGGCATTGTTTGAATTTAAGGAGAAAGTAAATAAAACATGGCAGCTAAAGTGAATGGATTTACAGTTTAGCTCGATTATTACTTTTATTTAATTAGATTGAGGTCAAAAAATGACAAAATGAAATGTTTTATTAATTGTAAAGTATAACTCTTGCATTGAGAAATGAAGTGAACATTCAGTTTTAAGTTAATTAATAGTTGAGTGAGGTGTCACTATCCAATGAAGCTGTGTTTATGATTTTTTTTTTTTTTTAGAAATACAAAACTAAGGTTGACCAAAAAATACAGATTTTTACCAGATTCAGTTAAAATTGATCTTTTAGAGGTGATGTGCTGATTCCAAATAATCCTTGCAGAGTGAACTGTAGTCAAGTAAGTTTGTGGTTGTATCAAAAAGCTGTTTTCAAAAATTCAAAAATCTATCCAAATGACAGCCTCCTAGACTTACTTTATTGTGATCCTTTCACTTTTAATTATGAATAAATGTGAGGTTTTTGCCCAGGAACAACTTTTGGTTTCCCAGCGAAAGCATCATACTCAGTGTAAGTGCCAGAAAAGTGCCCCTGGCTTTTCTTAGAGGCTTGTGCAAACAGATTCTGGTCTTCTGAGTCCATTGAACACAAAATGTTATAGCACTAAAGTGGTGAAGTCAACACATAAACATGTGTTGGATTGATGGTTTAAAACCACATATTTTGACACCCAGGCAGCCACCTTTCAAATGTAAGGAAAAATAATAATTTGAAATAAAAGTGGATTTCACTGTTGACATATTTGCATTTTTTCTTACCCATTATCACAACGTAAAGTAGACAACACACCAAAGAGAAACAAATAAATGTAGTAGTACTTACTGGTGTAGCTGATATTAAAGCCTTTTCCAGTATTAGAGTGGTCAGACTGGAACTCCAGCCTCATAATGTGTCCATTCGAGGCGATCTGCGAGGGGACATCTTTTCCTGAGAATGTTCCGAATGTGGCTGGTTCAGACAGACCTAAAAAACAACAAAATGCTTTTTTGTCAAATATTTCTGAACAAAATGCTCCAAAATATATAAATAAAACAAATGTGGTCAAAGAGAAAAACATAAGTACATGTAGGTAACAACAAAATGTCAAAACATAATTTTTGTGGTGTGATGACATTCCATTTTTACCCTAAAAGTTTAGGATTTGGTAAACTGAAGGGGAGCCTCTTACCCAGGCTTTCCACTGGACATGTAAGTGGCGCGTAACATATTAGACTTTTTTTCCCCTTAAATTCAGTGGTGCGTCCATTCCCACTGGGAGGGTTTCAGACACAAATCAGCAGCAAAAGCATTTTACGCATCTGGTCCCTGACTGGGGAATTTCAAGACCGCGCATTATTTTTCTAGTTCACACGATGACAAGCAAGGGGAAAGATGGCAGCATGTAACCAAGAACAGTTTTAAGCTACAATTGTAAATCTGCAAAACAAGCTATCTTTATATTTTGTTCATGTCTCTTAACAACACTCTAATGTTGTCTAGCAATTAACAAATTTACTATTTCTCTCACATCTGTCTAAAACCTCAGCCAATAACACAGCTTGGTCCGAAACCAACGATTGGACCTTCCGGGAGTCTGTCTCTCTAGACAAGCACACTTCTTCATTTTTCTGGGTCCTCCACTCATTACACGCTAGCACATTTTGAAATGCTACCACTTCAGTTGCAGAAAACAAAAGATGTTTGGACCTAGAAAATCAAAACTGATGTTTAGAGCTCTCTCATTTACCCTGGTAATGCGGTTTCCCATATGAGGCGGGCATGACCTTGTTTTTCAGATCTGCCTTTAAAGCTTTTACTTGACATGTTCTGGCAGCATAGTGACCCCTAGCACAAGCATAGCAGAGAGACAAGACACTGCCTCTGGGACATCTCAAAGATGCACCGCTTCTCAGCATTATAACACATGCATGGACTATAACTGTGAAAAACCAGCATTAAGGTTCAAATCATACAGATTTCTAACAACTATCATGCTACTCCATATCCAGTAAAACTATCTGCACCTTCAATTTTATTCAGCACTGCCAGAGTCACAGGAAGAAGAAAAAGAATAAGAAGATAGGAATTACTATATATATATATATATATATATATATATATATATATATATATATATATATATATATATATATATATATATATATATATATATATATATATATATATATATATATGAACATGAAAATTAAACTAAACAATCTATACATCATAAAGACTACAAGTGCTGTGTATAATCTACATTTAAGTGTAGTTTAAAAATGTTTTTTATACTTTTAACTATACTGAATCATCTTGTGACATATTTCCATTTACTTTTGTGAGCAGCAATCTCTACCATATACCTATGGTAACTGGACCGACCCCCCCTCCAATACAAAGAGGAGAGCCTTTGGGCACAGGGATATAGAGCCCATGAAGACTCGCACAGTGGACTAGCAGCTCGGGTCAGGACAGAACCGGAAGATTTCCACAGTTCACCATCCTTCGAAAAACTTTTGTTTTTGACTATAAATATGTTAAAAATGTTAAATTGCGCCCCACCCAAAAATAAATTTCGCCAGCTGCCACTGGATCCGAGAGGATCTTAGTAAACTGAACCTAAAATCCACAAGTTCAGCTTGAACAATTAGGATTTCATTAACTAATATCTAATGACATCTGTTCGCTTCCTGCACAGTGTTTGTGCTTTGTCCTCACTGGTTCATCTTCAGAGTATTTTAACGTTGAAAATGTTTTTCCATGTGAACCTTAGAGTGTCGTGATTAATAAGAATCCACGTCCAGGAGCACAAGGTTAAGCCCCTCTGATTGGATAGATGTCACAAAGTACTCTTTCTACAATGCTGCATTTAAGTGAAACTCAGAGCCAGTTATTTCAGGTTATTGAGCTGCCCTCGCCATTAATGTTATTACACCTGTGTGTGTTCTGATCTATGCATTTCTGGGCGATTCTATCACCACGAGAGGAAGCATTATATTGTCCAAAGCACCCATCATCCCCTTGGGGGTATGTGATTGCAATGAGTTTAAGGCAACACTCCGTAGCCATTAAAGGACTCGGTGTGTACCAGATCGATGACCCAAAACTCCCCACAGGTCTGCACAGCTGTAACCATGCAGCACATCAGCTCTTTATGACACATTTATGTCACAGCATTGGACCATTTACTGAGACAAACTGTAATACAGTTTTGTTTGGCAGAATACACTCTGCTCTTGAGGGTGCTCCCCAGTGATCCAACTGCCTCTGAGAGGAATGCAGTAAAACTCTAATGAGATGCATAGAGCAGAACCCAGCAGGTCCAAATCTGTTCACATATCAAATGCACACAAAGCACGAATATAGATTTTGTTAACAAATATGCAGCAAAAAGACAAAAAAGTCACAGCCACGCATCTTCTGAAAGAAAATATAATCAGCTACTCTGTACATATGTGAACAACATGTACTATACTTAAATGCAAACATTTTAGGAATTGTATTTTATTTGTTTACTTTTTGCCTGCAACACCAAATATAACTTATTTTTAATATATGGCAGAGGAGTTACTGTAAGTGTCACATAATCAGAAGTTTGGAGGTTCGAGTCCCGCTCACGCTGTGTCTTTGGGCAAGACATTTATTTATTTTTGATTTATTTACTTACCCAGTATGGTTTATGAGGATTAACTGCTTGAAATGACCCGTCTCACTTACAATGAAGTCTTCCATAGAAAGTTTCAATGAAAATAAAAAGACCAAGATAGCATAACAATTTGTATGCAAACATAAAATTAATGGGGTGAGAGTAAAACACACACACACAAACAATAAATAGACAAATCCGCACCTAAGCCACATTGCCTGCTGGTGGTGGTCAGGGGGACCGGCAGCACGAGTTAATGGCAGCATCACCTCTGTCAGTGTGCTCCAGTGCAGCTGTGGCTAAGTTGTAGCTCATCACCACCAGGGTGTGAGTGTGTGTGTGTGTGTTGTAAAGTGCTTTAGGGGGTTCTACTTTAGATCATGCAGCACAACTTTGTGCTTATGCCAATGCTACGTTGGTATTTGGTGTTTGGCACGTCACACCTGTCTTAGCCAATCTGCACTGGCTTCCAGTATCTTTCAGAGTTCAGTTCCATATACTTGTTTTTGTTTTCAAGTCTCTGAAGGCTGTGCTCCAAGTTATTTGACTGAGTTACTCACCCAGTATAAACCATGCCATGCACTTAGGTCATCACATCAAGACCTACTAGTTGTTCCAAGAGCAAAATGCTCAACTAGAAGAGGCAGGGATTTTTTCAGTTTTGGCCCCCAAGCTATGGAAAGGTCTTCCACTCGAGGTACAACAAGTACCCTCACTGCTGGTTTTTAAGAGTCGGAAGAAAACTCGCTTTTATATAGTGGTGTTCCCTCAGCACGCGAGCTAGCCATATTTTTAGATAATTTAGGTAATTTGAATCCAATTTTATTTAGCTTATTTTATCTAGTTTTTTTTATTATTATTAACATTCGTTGCTCTTATCTCCTGCTTTTATCCAATCTTATTTGTTTTTATGTCTATTTTTCTTGACCATTGCATGAGTCAGCAATGTTTTTAATGTGTGTACAACACTTTGGTTTGCCTTCTGGCAGCTGGAAGGTGCTACATAAATAAAGTTGATGATGATGATTGTTGTAAACTCACATTTAAACTAGATATACATCTGTCTCATTAACACTAGCAGATGCATCACTCTTTTTTTAATGTTTACATTTCTGACCAACATTTCATCTACAAAGGGTCTAAACTGTTTACAGTAGAAATTTCTTGAGCTTCTTCACAAAAATCAGTGGCTATTTGAGAAACGTGGCTTTCTGGAGGAAACACGTTTTGTTTGTGTCCAACTCAACACTTTTCCTACAGAAGGTCTGGTCAAATCTGTGATCTGCTTATTATAGGTTCATTGTCATTGTTTGATATTATACATTTGTTATTTGCAATGTTTCTATTTGTTACGGATCCTGGGCTCCCACATCCTGACTGGCCCAGTTCTGCTCCCTTCTCCTGTTCAGGACCTTGGACAGGTCCTCCGTCAGGCTGGCTTCCACCTCGGACAGTCTTCAGCACCCCAGCTGAAAGCCGTCAGCTGATGAGAGCTGATGGCTTAAGACTGCAGCTCTCAGTTCTCTGGGAGAGAACCACAGCCTAACACCCTGTTCTTCTATCCTCGGTCCTTGGATCTCTTGTAGCAAACGGTTTTCGAGTAGGATAAAAACTTTGATAGTCCCAGTGTTTCCAATAGTTTTTTTTTGGTAAATCCTGTTGCTGTTAGTAGCCGTTTTTGTTTATAGATCCATTTGCCTGCTCTTTAACTTGAATTCCAGTTCCTTTTTTCAGCTTTAGAGCTTGCTTTAAGTTTAGTCCTTAGAATAATATTTAGAATAGAATTAGCCGTCGAGATTTGTTGTTTCTAGTTATTTAGCTACGGCATTTTTTTTTGTTTGTTATATTCTCGTGTTTTCTTCCCCGAGGCCTTTTGCCTCAGGTATTTTGATTTCTACCCGTCACCTTTTAGTTATATTTAGTGCCTT